ACACTCCCAAGAGGAACATGACTGATGTATTGAACCTTGATGTATAACTAGATATACGGATCCTCTGTCAAGCCTTCCCACTAGCATATTGGCTAAGGCACTTCATCGAGGAATATAAGAGAGGGGTTCCTTAAAATAGAAACATTAAGATTGTAGCAACGTAAAGGACAAAGGTATCATTAGTGGAAGACAATTAGAAGGAAATCGTCTTTTAATAGCCAAGAGAAACATAAATTTCTGAATGTTCTGATTAGGGGTCTCGGTGATTAACTTAAAAGCTTTGCCTTGCAGATTGGTATGTTTAAAAACTCATGTGAATTAATACTGAAGGAATTGAAACATTGGATGACGCCAGAAAAGGTACATTTCATCACAATTACTTTCCTCAGCTTCAGAAGGCAATTGTCCAATAATAATAATATAATTTATTCATCAGATGATGTTCATCCATTTATTTCAGGTCAAAACTTCAATCAGAACTTTTCCATCTTCAGCTGAAATAGTCCCTGAGCCGCTCGGTCTTGTGTTAGTCATCTCTCCATGGAACTATCCAATTTGTATGTTAATATTTTCTTCACCTTGAGTTTTAAATATTTTTAGCTGACATCTTCAGCCTTTTCTTCTTTTAAAATCTACAATAAGTTGGTAACTACATTAATTTTTACCTTTCTCTGTCTATAATTGCAGTGTTGTCCCTTGATCCGGTCGTTGGAGCTATAGCCGCTGGTAATGCTGTGGTTCTAAAGCCATCAGAAATTACTCCAGCCACATCGTCTGTACTAGCAAAAATAATAGAGGAGTATATGGATCATTCATTTGTAAGAGTTGTCCAGGGGGCAGTTGATGAAACAACTGCACTATTGCAGCAAAAGTGGGACAAAATTTTCTACACAGGTTTTTCTTCTTTGCCATTATTCTAGTTTTCTTTACAATTGGTATGCTTTTATGTATCTATACACACGTGCAATTTTGAAATCCCTCCTCATAACTAATAAATGCATAATTTGTACATAAATTAGCAAGAAATGAAATGTCTCATTCAAGTTATATGTACGTTCCCGGATTGTTAGGTAATGGAAAAGTGGGAAGAATAGTGATGACTGCTGCTGCAAAACACCTTACACCAGTTGCGCTGGAGCTTGGAGGAAAATGTCCCGCTGTCGTTGATTCAAATGTCAATTTGAAGGTTTTAATATTTCCTAAGCCTTTTCTTTATCAATTCCTTGCTATTACCTTAACCACTATCAAATTCACTCTTGACTTAATTGTTAATAGGTAGCAGCTAGACGAATAATTTCTGGCAAGTGGGGATTGAATAATGGACAAGCCTGCGTTTCTCCCGATTACATCATAACAACAAAAGAATATGTTCCCAAGTTGGTATGAGATTTTCCCCATGTGTAATTGCCACCTCGAGTTCAGAATCCATGTCTTTGTTTATTTATTGTTTGATGGCTCCTATTTCTAGTTGGATGCCTTAAAGACTGAATTGGAGGCGTGTTACGGTAAGAATCCGTTGGAATCTGAAGATTTGTCTCGAATTGTGAGTTCCAACCACTTTGCTCGCTTGTCAAAGCTCTTAAATGATGATAAGGTTTCTGGAAAGATTGTCTATGGTGGTGAAAAGGATGAAAATAAACTGTAAGCTCCCTTTTATCTAATTTGACGTCATAGCAAAGGAGATTTTCTATTAAAGAAATGAAATAGATTTTGACATTAGTTTCTTATTGTCCCAAAATTTGTAGAAGGATTGCTCCCACTATTTTATTGGATGTTCCGCAAGATTCTCTGGTAATGGGTGAGGAGATATTTGGTCCATTGCTTCCTGTCATCACGGTATGAATAAAGGAACATAAAGAACCTTTTGTATGATATTTTGAACTTTAAATTTCATCCTGTTCTTTGATTGCTTTTCCAAAAGTCTAATATGAACAATGCTAACATAGTTCGATGAAATGTTTTCAACTGCAAGAATAATTGACACGGCTTCTTCAGCAGTGATAAGAGCTACAAGTCTCAATTTGTAAACTAACTACTCACTTAGAAAACCAGCAATGTATTGGCGAAAACTTTAATTGATTATATAATACGTAGATTCTAGTCTCTAGGGGACATTTACAGAAGTTATAAGCTAAATGCACGTGCAAATAGGTGTTATAATTTAAGTTCCCAGCAATGAACTATTTGCTTCTTTCTGTTTTGAAGTAAAAGGAAGATGAACTTCCATACCTTTTTTGTTGCGTGGAACAGGTCAATAAACTTGAAGAAAGTCTAGATTTGATCAATTCAGGAGAGAAGCCCCTCGCTGCATATGTATTTACAACCGACAAGAAGTTCAAGGAGCAATTCGTAAAGAATGTTTCTGCTGGGGGTTTGCTTGTCAATGACACTAGCCTACATGTAATATTTCTTCTTACAAAAGTTTTGCATGCATTAGTTTGCTTGTGCCTCTAATTGTGATTCTAACCACTGCTGATCTTCACCGTGAAATAATATATTATTAATAAATAATAAATAAATATAAAAGAGTGAAAAAAAAGAAAATATGAAAAGATAAAATTATAAATATATTAAATAATTATTAAGTTTAATAAGAATAAAATCATAGATTATACGAAGCAGAGGTAATGAGAGAATAAAATTACAACTATAGAAATAATAAATAATCGTTAAATTTCAAAATACCCAAAATCATAAATTACATTAAAATTTGAAAACTTTGGAAAAGTTACCGTCTCAGCTTAGTAGAAGATCCCCCTGGACACCATCGAAAGTCTTAGTTAGCTTCAAGTTTCGGATTGATGACAATTTGCTGTGAAATCAATTTCTTAGCATAAATTTTAAACATGGATAGAAAATTTTCTGTTAATGTCAAAATAATCGTTCCCCCATCTATGGATACGGATAAAGCCTTGTTGTTCGACATTCCTTATTTTCTGTTCTGCATGAATTTAAAATCTGAACATTTATGATGTTTTCATGGTGCAGCTTGTGGTTGAGACTTTGCCATTTGGGGGAGTTGGAGAAAGTGGAATGGGAGCATACCACGGGAAGTTCTCGTTTGATGCTTTTACACACAAAAAGGCTGTTCTTTATCGCAGTTTTGCGGGTGACTCGTCGTTAAGGTACCCACCATACACGGATACAAAGCAGAGATTGATGAAGGCTCTCATCGGTGGCAGCATCCTTGGCATAATTCGTGCTCTTTTAGGGTCGTCCTAAGCTTATTTTGTTTTCAATTCAAAATTTGCTGTTGTTGATGTATTTCTCGTTTTGGTTTTTGTGTACTTTAGCTGTTTAGTTAACCAATAAGCTAGACTTGCGCTGGAAAAGGCTAAATAATCGTTGCTACTTTTCTTCCTTATTAGGTTTGATGTCTTGTGGTTATAAATAATGTGGCCAATGCATTTTAGAGGCTATGCAAGTTGTGATACCCCCTCTCCCTCTCTCTCTCTTTCTATGTGTGTTTGTGTACAATTAACATATTCCCGGAAGAATATAAGGCATGCTCTTATGTAACACAATCCAGATTTTGCTAGCGGTTTTGGTCTTTCACTGTAATGTTTGTGCTGTGAGTCTTTGATAAGTATTGCATGAAGTTTAGGGGGAGTTCATTAGGCTTCGTGTTGGGCTTTTACCAATTTAACTTTTTTACTTCACCGTAAAATGAAAACATTGACACAAAAATTCTATGGGTTAACCCAATATGGGCTACATCTACATGCAACATCAAAATTTCTACTATGAATAAAATGTATAAAAATTGTGAATTACACAAAATCCCTCTCATAAGTCTTTCTATTGTAGAAGAAAAAACCTTCAATTCTGGAACGAAACCTCATTTATTGACTAATAATGAAAAACTTTTAATGATTTCCTTACTATCTTTTTCCCATGAACTGATATGTGGGACATTAACATAGATCTAATTTACAAATTATTAGGCTTACCCATACCAAAGTCTAAATGGAAGTCTAGATCAATTGGCTATTCTTATAAGAACAAAATATCACTTTCAATGAGATATACCCACACCTAACATTTTCAATCCAGATATATTGAGTCTCTTTCGTTTAGATGTGATCTTAGCTAACACAGAAAACTTATAAAATGATGCAACAGAAGTTCTTAGAGGACAAGGCATGCTCCATGCCTTATATAACACAATGCATCATCATTCTTCCCCTTTATGTCGTTTCTCATGAAAATTCCTTCAAATTTGATAGATTCCAAAGAGGATTTAAGCCACAACCTCACACAACAAAGGTGAGATCAATGAAACTCTGGTGTGGCCACATAGTTGGTACCATTCGTGCACCATTTGGATGGTCGTAGGCATATATATAGTGTCTTGAAATCTAGGTCCCATAGAGTTATCTTTCACTAGTTAACAAAAACCATAGCATATGCTTTATACACGCCACCAAATTGACCCTTTGAAAATATTACTCTCAGATTACTTAAATTATTTTCCTTTTAGAGGGCTGTGTTTTTCATATTGAATTTGAATTTGAGTTTTGTTTTTCCTTTCTTCAGATACTGTCGTACTGAACCCGTAGGTTTGGAACAGTTACCAAAAAGGACGATAGCTGTACCTAAGATGCTGAAATAAACCTGGCAGGCAGGGGATTTTGCACATACCATCCTCGGAAAATTTGTATATTTGCAAACAAAGTCGCTCTCACAAGGATTTGGTATCTATGGAGTGATTAGTAAAGTGAATTTCCATTATATAATTTTCAAGCTGTATACTCTGTGATTCTTATTCTTCCAAGATTACTATATATAATTTTTAACATTCCAGATATGTATTGAATTTCCCATCCTAAGTTATGAATTCCAGCAACTATAAAGCCTTGTTTTGCTTCTGGACTCATAATAGTGCCCCAAATGCTTAGAAATTTAATCTATTCATTAAATGAGAAAAAAAAAAAAGAATGAATGTAAGAAAAGTCATCATAGATTACACTTGAGCATCTAAAAACCAAATGCTTTGACAATCAAGAATCATGTAAAATACGAACAACCTCTGATCTTTGATCATGTGTGAGATGTGTTGGAAACTCAACTAGAAATTTAATTTTCAAGTTTCCTCTCTTCCCTGGTTCTCTGGAGATTGGCATGCCTTGATCAGGGATGATCTTCTCATAGCCAGGGTGTATGATGTTGTCAAGTTTCAAATTCATGTGCTCTCCATCCAATAGTGGAACTAATATGGTACATCCAGTAAGTGCCTTTACTAAGGGAATTTCTACGCTCAATTCCAGATCATCTCCATCTCTTCGAAATAACTGGTGTCTTTTCTCGGAGATGATAAATATTATATCTTCTCTGTATGCCCCTGGTCTCTCATTCCCTTTTCCTTCAAATTTAATCTTTGTTCCTTTCTTCCATCCAGGTTGCACATTTATCGTCAGCATTTCCTCCTCTTGAACAATTCCCCTACATACAACAAATGCCAATCATATTCATTAAGCTTTTGCCAAATACACAGTCCATGAATCCTTAGCTTGCCAATTTATTACCATATACACTCACAAAAATACATACACAAACATAGGACACATATCTAGTATTGGTCATACAATCATTTCTGGATAATCAAGATTGTTATCTTTCATTTGAGTTAGCTGGTCATAATTGGGTTCATTCATGCTCTCATTTCTCTGACCGAATGAAAACTATTCACATAAATATTACTCCAACAATGATTCACGAAACAAATAACACTAAACACTTATGGTAATAATAATAGACAATTAAATTGGTATATGCCATCAGCATTTCACAATATAAGTATGTTAAGATAAACTCATAATGTTTATGCTAAAAATTCAAAATTCCTTAGACAAAGTAAATACAGTAAGAACAAATCCAATGACTGGCATTTCTTTTTTGTTAGTATGTGTCTATCAGCAGGCAACAACATCAGATCTGGTAGTGTTAATATATTCTCAAACTCTACCTAACTAATATGATTGAAAAAAGTAACAATTATTAAATACATATATTGGCATATATAATGGCAAACTCCCATTAAAGTATGAAAATTAGAAAGAAGAAAGGAGCAAAGAACACTAGGGAATAACATGGTGGAATTGGACAGATACTAACCCTGTATCTGTTAGCACATCCCTTGTGATCATGATCTTTTTCTTGCATCCATAGCACAAGTCTTCCAGAGTGCACTCTAGTTTTTTCTCAATCGGTGGAGGTTTTAGCATCCCAGATGAATTGGAATACATGATTGGATTATTGCTCCTGTGGCTGGCATTCCTTGAGTTCAGATGACCGCTTCTGTTCAATGAAGGAGGAGAAGGAGGGGTAGGCATAAAATCATCGCTCTTGCTCGAGGTGGTGTTAGTCTTTCTGCTTTCATTTCTAGAAGCCGAATTCATGGAAGGAAAAGACGAACCATTTAATTTTCTTGGCCTACATAAACAACATCCACTTGGGATTCTCATGGGAGAATCATCGTCATTGTTCCTCAAATCACGCCCATCAATCTGAAGCAGCACATCCATTCACGACTTTGCAATCTCGAATAGGTTTCTGGGGAAAGAAATGCCAGGCGAAAATTTTATTTATTAGATTCTATTTACGTGTTCATGCAGGCAAGCATGCATTCAAAGAATCCTAAGAATGGAAAAAGCCACGCATTCAAAACTTATTTTTAACCACGTTTTTGTTAACAGATAAACCGTGATTTACTGGACTGGATAATCATAAATATAACGACCCAGTAGTCAAAACATTAAACTGTTCTGACTTTAGACTTTTGATGAACCGAATTAAAAACTTTTATGACAGGGTTTCTTGATTCTGTCTACCTGTTGTGTTTGGTTCTGGCTTCGCCGTTTCTTGCTATCACGAAACCATCTTTCGATAACTCATTTGTTTGTTTTGCATAGATCACGAATAGAGCTTATGCCAAACACACAGGTAATAGCCACCACGAGAGAGAAAAAACAGAGAGAGGAAGATAAAATGCAACAACAGTCAATCACAATCTCAACAAGGAGAATGCAGGGTAAACCAAATTTGGGACCTTTTTTCAACTCAACCTTTTCTTAGCACCATCCCATTAATAGTAAACATAGCTTTTCTGAACTTCCTTATTACTTTTAAGTGGACTCCAACTTCTAATAGTGGAATTACGTATATATATATATATATATATATATATATATATACGTAATTGCCCCTTAATTTAATTATCCTAGACTGAACTCATATACCATTTTTCATACCCTTATACGCTTATAAATCAATTGAAAGATGAACTTAATCCTCACAAAGAAGAATATTAGGTATTAAATCTCAAAAGGAAAAGTTTTATTTTTTTAGGAATAAATGAATTAACAAACGCGTAATTGTCTGATGAGGGAAAGAGAAGAGGAAAAAAGGTTAAGAAATAAACCTAAAGTTAATTTATTATTAGAAAAAAATGTATTCTAAATAAAATTAATGAGTCACCTAAAAGGAATTAAGAATCCAAATTAAATTATATATATGGTTGAAGATATTCTAATGTCATGTATCACATTTATTTTATTATTATTTTAAATAACTGTATAATTGAACCTCTCTAATAACACTCCATAAAGCATTTCTTTAAATTAAGAACCAAAGGTATTGGTTTTGAGTTAAAAAATTATTAGTTTTGGGATTTTTCTGTAAACATCTTGGAAACAGGCCCAGACCAATCCGCGTTTATACTGCAAACAATATCATTTCTTGTTTCACCCACGAAACTTCCAAATTCTTTTGACCCTTTCTTCTTCTAAGTTTCAGACTCAAATTTTCAAAGGTATCATTATGATTGGTATGGATAACAAAGTTGAAATGTTGACTATATAAAGCTCAATTACAAGATAATCACTTCTCTATACGAACAAAACTATCTTAGCAATTCAAGTTTATACCAATAAAAAGAATTAAAACATTAAAATAACATGGATATATTTTAAAAATATAAAATATTTTGTATTATTGAGTGAACTAATTATTAAGATTTTAATAAATTTTTAACGAGTTTAATGATCATACATCATCACTTTTATGTAAGTAAATTTATTGTTGAATGATGAAAATTTTCTTACAAAAACATTAAAAATATATGTTAACGTATATTTTTTTATTAAGTATGTAAGTTTGCTTTTTATTTAATATACTTTTCATAACTTCATCTAATTCCAAATTGTATTAAGAAAAAAAGTGTTAAAAATATACTTAAAGAAATATGTTTGCTAACTTGTACTCGGAAGATTTGTTTTTTATATATATATATATATATATATATATATATATATATATATATATATATATATATATGTAGTTATTTAATTTTAAACCAAAGACAGATTTTTATAGCAACCTTAAAAAGTCGCAATAATGACGTAAGGTGAAGATTCCATTGTGCGTGTTTTCTTTCCCAATAAAACCTGTTAGTCTCTCTCTGCACATGAATACGCTGACACGGTTAAGTAGTTTAGTTAGAGGAGAGTTCTCTCCTCTCGTTCAACTTCATCTCTTTCTTCTCATCACAGTTTTCAATTCTGATTTTGAGCTTCCAATTACTTCTTCTGAAAATGGATGTGAAAAGTAGGGGATTTTCATTCACCACGGTTTTACTCTTTTTGCTTCTTTCTTCCATTTTCTCAACCTCCTTCTCAGACACCGATCAGATTCTCAACTCCAAAAAGCCAACACCCTCAACCTCTGTTCCCTCCCTTGCTTCCTCTGTCGCTTTTCAGATTAAAGGAAATGTTTATCCAATTGGGTATGTAATGTTATGTCATCTTATCTTATTGTATATTATTTATCCCCTGACTTGTTCAACAAACTTCTTCTAAAGGTCGCATACCAACTCTCTCGTACTTTATTTTTCTCCAATACTTTCAAGGTTTTATTTTCTGGGCTTGGAATTTTTTAGATAGTTTTCAACTTGTAGTTGTTTCATCCTTTTTTATATATACTATAATGTGTACAGGGGTGTTGAACCCAGAATTTCATGTAAATACCCCTTTATATCTTTGAATGCTCCAGTCAACCAATTGACCCTGACTACTCCTTCTAATTTCTTAGGAAGTTTCAGAACGATCCTTGTCTATATCGAATTAAGCCGATTTTCATTGAGTGATCCTACATAAAAAAGTTGTTTGACAGACCCCATTGTGTAATTTTATTCCTCTGATCATTGTTTTTAACAGTGGCCTTGTATGAAAAAGTAATGATGATAACATGATGGTTGTTTTGTAAAAGTGAATGAAAGAATTCGTCGTATGCAGGTATTATACGGTGAACATTGCTATTGGCAATCCCCCTAAGGTTTATGATCTTGACATTGACACCGGAAGTGATCTCACTTGGGTTCAGTGTGATGCACCATGTAAAGGTTGCACCATAGTAAGTTTCACTTGAGTTGAGAACATTCTCAAGTACTTTTAGTTATTACTATTCATTATTAACCAGCCATGGTGTGCTGAAGGATGATATTCATTTCCTTAATTGCTGATTTTCAGCCTCAGAATCGACTTTATAAACCCCGGGGCAACCTTGTGAAATGTGTGGATCCCTTGTGTACTGGAGTCCAGTCAGCACCTCCTTGTGCTGTAGCAAATGAGCAATGTGACTATGAGGTTGACTATGCAGATCAAGGATCGTCTCTGGGTGTGTTAGTCCGAGATTATATTCCAGTTAAATTCACCAATGGATCTTTGGCACGCCCTATTCTGGGCTTCGGGTGAGTGTTTTCTCTCAATCTATTTCACAGTTGTTGGTTATCGAATTTCAAATTGTTCATTCATAATGCTGAAATAGATGTAAGGCTTGATTATTTTTTTACTCAATAGGACAAAGTTTGTCTTCAATCTCTTAGAAATTAATGTCTCTTTTAGACACTCATCTATAAAAATGTGTCAAGGTTTTTTGTGTGTTTCATGCTAGATGTGGATATGATCAAACGCATCAGGGTCATAATCCCCCACCATCCACAGCAGGGGTTCTTGGCCTTGGAAATGGCAGAACAAGCATTGTATCTCAGCTTCACTCTCTTGGCCTAATTCGCAATGTGGTAGGCCACTGCTTAAGTGGGAGAGGAGGAGGCTTTCTATTCTTTGGAGATCAGTTTGTTCCCAAATCTGGAGTTGTTTGGACACCCATATTGCAAAGTTCCTCAGGGTAAGTCTTAAACTGGATTTCTCATTCCCTTATGAGATTGCTAGTCATGAAAACTTACAGTCTTTTGTTTCAGACAACACTATAAAACAGGTCCAGCAGACCTGTTTTTCGGTGGAAAACCTACATCTCTGAGAGGTCTTGAATTTATCTTTGATAGTGGGAGCTCCTACACATATTTCAATTCCCAATCTCATAGAGCTCTTGTTGATCTGGTGAGAAATGGAACCAAGAGCCTTGTTATTATATTGTTTGGCTTATTATGTAAAATTGATAAACAGCTGCCATTCAATTAGTAATCCTTCATCTGTGATTCAGATAACTAATAATATAAAGGGGAAGTCGTTGACTAGAGCAACTGAGGATCCATCTCTCCCAATTTGTTGGAAGGGTCCAAAGCCTTTCAAAACTTTACATGATGTCACTGGAAATTTTAAGCCACTGATACTCAGCTTCACAAAATCAAAGAATTCGCAGCTGCAAGTACCACCAGAAGCTTATCTAATTGTCACTGTGAGGACCTTTTAAGACCCTTATGACTTGCATATCTCTTTCTCCTTCATCAAAGAAATAACGTGTTCATTGTCTAACATGCTACCATTTCTAGAAACAAGGCAATGTCTGCTTGGGGATTCTTGATGGCACTGAAATAGGAATCGGAAATATCAACATAATTGGAGGTGAGCAATATGAAATACCAATAAAAATTTAAAATATAAGGGAAATCTTATTTATCTTTCTCTTTTTACTTTGATTGTAACACAATTTCTTTTGCTATTAGCAGATATATCTTTACAAGATAAGATAGTGATTTATGACAACGAGAAACAGCAGATTGGATGGGCTTCTGCAAATTGTGATAGACCTTCCAAGTCATAAATCAGTCTATGGTGATTTTTTTTAGGCTGAGACTGTTGATAGGACTTTCTCATAAGGAAATATTAGCAAACAGGTGTCCTGCAACTTATGATGTTATAGATTGTGAATAAGTTGTTAGGCAAGGCATGTTAGAATGCAAAATGGTTGGGATAGCATATACAATCCCATATATATGCCACAACATCATCTATGCATATTTTCATTTTTAACAGGTTACTAAATGTTTTTTTGTCCAAACAATAATTCTGTTCGTTATAAGATACAATGTACGCATTCTCGAAAATTATTTATATGCATTAGTTATAAAAAATTCTCCTCCAATTTTACCAACGGAAACGCCAAAGTTCTACAAAAAAATCCGTCAAGTTTTTTTCATTGTTTTACTTGTAGAAATTTAAAGTTGTTTTTATTTCAAATCGGTTGTAACTCCAAAATGTTAGATAGTAAATGTTAAACTAAATGTTTCAGATAGAAGAAAAATAATAAAGAGAACAAATTTGCTTGAATTTGAAAATGAATTAAATGACTTAAAATTTTGAAAAACTAAAATTCGGTGCTGTTCAAATTAAAAAGACTCATAGTGAAATAGTTCAATTAAGTAAAACAACTTCTAAACCTGAATTTTGTTTGAGAATCGAACTATTTGAAAAACAACTAATTAATTATTTTAGTTTGCTTGACAAAAAATTAGGGAGTAATTTATTTTTGTAAAAAAGTTGAAATACTCTTATATTGTTTGGATAGAAAATTAAAAAAAAATTCAAATTTTAGTAATAATTAAATTTATATTTTTTTTCCCTCAAATTTCGTCCCATCTATTTACTTTAAATCCTTTATTTGACTTAGTCATGAGACATCATCCTTTCAGTCGAAATCTAGGTATCGTTAATTTAATATCGTGTTTCTTACTGATACTGCCAAAAGTTTCTTTTAAGTTAAAATTAATATAATTATTTTTCAATCATCACCATGATATAATTTTTGTTAACAAATACATGTTATTTATTAGTTGATATTAATTGAGTTTTCTTTTATTAATATTAGTGGTGTTTTTTAAAACTTATATCAAATACTTTTGTTAATTTAACATTCATTGAAATTATTTTTAACTTTTCGACCAAAATCAATTAGATATAAGTTAGAATTATTTTTTATTAACATTAATTAATCAAGATTTATTTGATCAACATTGATAAGAATATTTTTTTGTTAATGTCAACTAAAATTATTTTATTAATATCAATGAAACTATTTTTTAAACAAATATAAATTAAGATTTTTAATCTATTTTAATAAAAAACTTTTTGATATTATATATCTTATTTCTCTTTTTATATTTATCAATATATTTTCAATCAACATCGAATTATTTTTCAGTAAATATCAACAATAATTTTTCTCTTGAGTAATAAACTCAAATTATTATATAATAAATTATGCGATAATTTATAAAATCATTATAGTTTTTATGCGCACATACCCAAAGTACTAAAATTATATGCCAACTGTCCCATGTAATTTATATAAAATATTACATTAATTAAAAAAAAAAAAACACGGTAATAACATCTGTTACTTAAAACACAATCAAACTTTGACATTAAGTAAATTTTATCTGTAAGAGATTATAATCCTTGAATAATTATTTTGGTAAATATTTTACCTAAGCATCACATTTATCTTGTCTACAAGATAAATGAAAAAATATTTAAATTATCATGTCTTGGGAAATATTTATGTGTTGCAATAATTTTTAAAAACAAAACTTTCAATGTTTAAAAGTTAAAAACCAACGATAAATTTTGAAGGATTTCTGTTGTACATGAGATCTGAATTTGAATAGAAAAAGAATTTTCAATGTTTTTTCGACCATCTTTTACAATCTAGATTAGATTTGGCCATTTTATGAATATCCTTAAACATTATTTTGTAGGTATTCATTCTTCTCTCTCAATGCACTGCAGTATAAACAGAAATAAACATCTGCATAAAAGGGGAGATGTAAACAAGCTATCCCAACCATTTTGCTTTCTAACATTGTATAACAGCATAAGTTGCACGGCTTTGCTAAGATTTCCTAATGAAAAATGCTCAATCAACAGTTTCAACTGAAGAAAAAAAAAAACTCACATTAGACTGATTCATGAGTTGGAAAGTCTATCAAAATGTGCAGAGACCCATCCAATCTGATGCTTCTCGTTGTCATACATCATTATCTTATCTTATAAAGAGAGCAACAGAAAACGTTGAAACTAAAAAAGAGAAAGAAAAAGATTTTATAGTTTATTTGCATTTAATATTGCTAACCTCCAATTATGTTAATATTTCTTATTCCTATTTCAGTGCCGTCTAGAATCCCCAAGCAGACATTACCATGTTTCTGGAAAAGGGCAGCATGCCAGATAGTAGACAAATAATTTCTTTTATCCTTTCATTAAAGGAGAGAGATGTAGCTCATAGAATCATATCATAGTCTTAAAAGGTGCTCGCAGGGACCATTAGATAAGCTTCTGGTGGTACTTGCAGCGACGAATTCTTTGATTCTGTGAAGCTGAGTACCAGTGGCATGACTTGCTAGTGAAATCATGTCGAGAATTGCTCTGGTCAACACTTTCCCTTTATATCATTAGTTATCTGAATTACATATCCAGTGTGGCTAATAACCCAAATTCTGTAGCAACTACAGAGCATGACTATAACATATAATGTTTATAGTATAATCCAAATCTCAAGGTAATAACATAAACAAAAATTTTCAAGCTATATGTCACCATTTTGTTTAAACTATGTGCATGTTACATTACACCTCATTCTTGGTCATGATACAGAACTGTGTGCTTTGTCTATAACAACGTGATGTAGTAGTGTGTAGGAAGACTAGCCACATTAATGAAGAAATCAACGGGTAGATAACAGGCCCCTTCTTGAGGTTTGGGAGATTGACACTACCCCATTTTTGAGCCAATAATATTGCAACCAGCTCCGTTTTTCAGAACAAATTTCAAATCTGTGTGAGACAGTAACCAAGGTAACATGCACTCAAAGCATACCTGATATGTAGCTGTAGCCTTGATCAACCCCTCAACACACACTTTTGGCTTTCAAGCAGAATCTTGAGCAGTATTGTACTAGCTTCCATCTGGTTCAGAAGAACTTCATTAGTCAACATCACTCGGCAATTGCAATATGAGGCATTTATCGAGCAAGTGCAGAAACAATATACCAGTTAGCCTACCTAAACATGCCAAATTTCTTGCAGCACAACGATAACAGTCTCCCTTTGAACAACAGTTATGCTGATTATCAACTGTGCGAACCACATATCAGAGTCATTTTGTTCGCTGACTTCAGTCCAACATAGGTCCTTCCAATAGTCACCACACATCCAAAATTCCTTACAGCAACCACCAAACAATCAAGGCACAAACCGTGCCAATCTGATCCTCAACCTAACCTTCCTCGCTTCATTTGTAAACCCAATACTCCGGAGGCCATCAATAACCGCCCTCTGAGTGGCCCTCAACACCTGGTACCCACATTTTAAACACGAAACCAACACATTTGAGGCACAAAGGAACCTCCTCGCCCTGCAAAGGTTGTGCACCAATATAGTATATGTAAACGAATCCTTCACCTCCATCACCTCAAACAACTTCACAGCATGATCAATATGCCCAGCCTTCCCCAAAGCATCAAGCATACAATTAAACGCAACCAAATTATATCCAAACCCTAATGTATTCATGTAATTCAAGTGCTTCTGAGCCCCAACAAAATCACCAGCCTTACACAATCCATCAACAATAATAGTATGTGTATACTGATCACACTCCAACCCCTCCTCCTCAATCTCATCCAACAATTTCAATGCATCCTCCAACCTCCCCTGCCTGCAATAAAGGTTAATTAAAGTGTTATAGGACACGAGATCCGGCCGAACGCCGGAACTCACCATTATCTTGATTATCTCCTCCGCCTCGCGCATCCGGCCAGTCTTGATCATCGCAGCAATCACCGTGCAATACGCGAATCCGTCGAACGTGAACCCTAAACTCCTCATATCCGACAACATCTCCAACCCTTGCTCGAAAAAACCGCCCCGGAAGCAGCATTTCATGACGGTGGTGTAAGTAATCGCGTTCGGTTCGTAACCGGATTCTCCAAACTCCTTGAGCACCTTTCGCGCGTCCTTCAACCGCTTGGCCTTGCAGAGCCCGTTGATAAGCGCGTTGTAGGTCAAAACCTGAGGCACGAAACCGTGCCTCTGCAAGTTCCTGAATAGGCTCAAGGCGTTGGAGACGTAACCGTTCTTGCAGAGACCGTTAATCATGACGTTGTAAGTGGTGGCTTGAACCTCGCCGCGGAGAACGGTTTCTTTGAAAACGCGATTGGCCTCGTCGGGCTTTCCGAGCTTGAACAAACTTTGCATTAGGATGTTGTGGCTCCACGCGTCGGGGGTTACGCCTCTCGCCAGCATTTCCTCGAACAGGTCAAGGGCTTTGGAGAGCAAACACTTTCTGACGGCGCCGGAGATTAACGAGTTGTACGAAACGACGTCCGGGGGGATCCCTGCTTCGCGCATTCGCTCAAGGACGGAGTAAGCCACGTCGATGGAGACGAAACGACAGTAGGCGTTGATCAGGGTATTGTATGTGACCACGTCGGGGAGAACGCCGATTCTTATTCCGTCGATTATTACGGATTCGGCTTTGGCTATTTGCTTCGCTTTGCACAGCGAGGATATGGTTATGTTGAGGATTTTGGTAGACAGTTTCGACCTCTGTGGAGACCAAAATGGCATCGTTTTGGTAACTCCTGGTCGGAAATGAGATTCGTTTACTTTGAGAACTGGAAAGACAGAGTGGGAGTGGTGAGCGTGGGTGCGGTGGTGACGGCGTCGAAACTCGAAACACGCGAAGCATGGTGCGGGAAAGAAAAGCCCAGGGCGAAAGGAGATGAAGCAGAGGGAACTTGGGGGGAATTTTGGACGCTTTAATTGGGCCGGATAAAGGAGTTTCAGATTGCCAAATACACCTCCTTAATTACTAGGTCAGTTTTTTCTTTCTTTCCTTTTTGCTAAATTATATTTTTAGCGTAGTCTTTATCCCAAAGTTCATTTATACTGATGATGTTTAGTACAATGAAAATGTATTGAACACACAAATTTGATAAAAGGATATTTTCTTGTTTTTATTAAACAAAGACCTGGAATACCTTCATACATTATACACTACACTACCATTGCATATAATGTATTAAGCACGATGAAAATTACATATAATATAATTTAGTCATTGCAACTTTTTATTACAAATTGAACGACATTATAAGATTTTAGATATAAAAAACAAATATAGGATGACACTGCACTTACCACGTAAAAAAGAAAGATGCATCACATAAATACAAATAACATATAAAAATGTATCATCTATGCCACGGTTCATTTATTTTTTATATATATTACCAAATAAATATTTTTTATTGTTAGAATTATCTCGTACGGTTATGTTACATATAATCCTTATTTTTATATAAATAACAGAACATTAATAAAAAATGAGATATATTTTTTTTGAAACCTATGAATTCTATAATGGCATTAAAGCTCTTTAACGAGCTTTGATAACCTAAATATTAATAAATTTTTATCATTTTTTTTTTACATCACGAGATGGTTTGTCAAAGTTCTTCGGAAAATTATTATCTTACCGATCCTTCCAACCCTCTTTATCTTCATGTCAATGAGTCACTCTCACAAGTTTTAGTCTCATCACCTCTAAATGGACGAAACTATTTGGGCAAGAACTATAAAATTTGCTCTTATCTGCAAAAACAAGCTGAAACTTGTAAATGGCAGCATTCAACCTCGTCACTAACAAATATGTCCTTTGGAACATGGTTGAACCAAATTATCTCAAAGAGCTAGAAAAATTGTTTTTATTAGGTACAAAGATGGAACTAAAGGATACTTGTTGTATGATATTCAATGTAGACAAATTTTTATCTCGAGAAATGTGTTTTTTTATGAAACTTCTTTTCCTTTTAAATTAGAAGTTGAATCTGATATGACTAGTCAAAGTATGTCAAAACCAATTTGTGAGAATATTATCCTCTTTGATACAAATGAACCTATCATTTTTCTAAATTTAAAAAAAGAAGATAATGACTCAAATCATACGACTGATCAAACATCACACCTCCTTGCACCAAAAACACCTTGACACTCCATGCGGCAAAAACAATGTCCATACTACTTGAGGGATTATCACTTCTACTTGTCTACTGCTTGTAGTACTGATGTCTGGTAATAATTCTTTCTCTATTTCGTATCCTTTATCTGCCTTTTTATCTTATAAAAAATGCTCTCCCAATTATAAATTTTTTTGCTATTTTGTTATTTTGTTTCTTCTATAATTGAGCCAAAAACATATACTCAAGCTTCTAAAATGAACTATTGGGTGCAAGTTGTGAATTCTGAGATTACAACTCTTGAGCAAAATCACACTTGAAAAATAGTTGATCTTCCTCCTAATAAAAGGCCCGCTGATTGTAAGTGGGTTTATAAGATCAAATTTCATAAAGACACAAAATTCGATTAGTCGCTAAGGGATATACACAACTTAAAGGGGTGAATTATTTTGATACTTTTTCTCTAGTTGCAAAACTCACAACAATACGAGTCATCTTGCCATAGCTGCTGCCAAAAATTGATTCCTTTAACAATTAGATGTTAATAATGCTTTTTTGCATGGTGACCTACATGAAAAAGTCTATATGAATTTACCCCCTGGTATGGTATCTTCCCATCCAAATAAGGTCTGTAAATTGTAAAAGTCTTTATATGGGTTGAAACAAGCTAGTAGGCAGTGATATGTCAAGCTCACCACAGCCTTACTAGCTCTTAAATTCACCAAATCTTTAGCTGATCATTCTCTCTTCATAAAGAATACAGGGGTATCTTTCACTGCTTTATTAATCTATGTTGATGACATAGTTCTTGCAAGCAATGATCCTAATAAAATTGAATATGTCAAGAGACATTTGGATAATGAGTTCAACATTAAAAATCGATGGCAACTTTGTTATTTTTTGGGGCTTGAAATATCACGTTCTTCATTTTGTATTGTGGTCAATAAGAGGAAATATGCACTAGCAATACTGGAAGAAAATGACATGTTTGCTGCCAAACCAGTAACCACTCCTATGGAGCCATCTACCAAACTAAATAGCTCATCTGGAACTCCTTTATCTGACCCTCAGATTTATCGCAAGTTGATTGGTTAGCTGATGTATCTTACAACCACCAGACCAGACCTAGCTTTTGTCACTCAACAACTGAGTCAATATGTTTCTCAACCCCTAGATACTCATCATCATACTGCCATGAGAGTGCTACATTATCTCAAATGATCTCTTGCTAAAAGTCTTCATTTTGCCGGCAACTCATTTCTCATTCCTTTAAGTTTTGTTGATTTTGATTAGGGTTGTTGTATAGAAACTTTAAAATCTATCATTGGATATTGTGTATTTCTTGGCTCTTCATTAATTTCTTGGAAAACCAAGAAGCAAACCGCAATATTCCTATCTTCCTCTGAAGCTGAATATAGAGCTCTCGCGGCTCTGAATTGTGAGTTACAGTGGCTTCATTATTTACTTATTGATTTAAAAGCTTTTAATGTTGCTCCTATTTCAGTTTTTTGTAACAATCAATCCACTTTATATCTGACTCACAATTCTATCTTTCACAAATGAACAAAACTTATAGAAATTGATTGTCAAGTCATTCGTAAGAAAATTCAAAGGGGTCTTATTCATCTACTGCTAATTCTTTCTTCTGCACAATTAGCTGAAATGTTTACTTAGATCCTTCTTCCCAAAACTTTCATACACTATCTCTAAGCTAAGATTGTTAGATGTTCACTGTCCCGCTTGAAAGAGTTATTACCAAATAAATATTTTTTTATTGTTAAAATTTAGTACAGTTTTATTTTATTTCATACCTGCTTGTACGATTTGTTACATTTTTATTATATACATATTATTCTTTCATCTGATATATATATATATATATTTTATCTTTCAAAGTTACAAGTGATTAAATTTATTTGTGACATTGTTTAAAATATATATCATTAAAACACCAATGTGATAAATTACATTTTAGAATTAAAAAAAAGAAAAAAAAAAAAAAAGGGACCGGGTGAATCGGCCGTAATGAATATGCATTTCGCGCCTCAACGCAACACTCACTATCGTTGCTTGTGAGCGGTGAATGCAAATTTCAGTTCTCAGCGAAGAGAAAGAGATATAGAATCGTGAGCTAACAATGACGACTCACCCCATGGACATTGACAGCGACAGCGACGATCTCACTCACACCTTGGGGCCCGGCGGAAGTGTCATAATTGCCGACGACCCTGAAGCTGACGAGAAGGCCATTCCGTGGGTTGAAAAATACCGCCCTCAGTCCCTCGACGACGTCGCCGCTCACCGTGACATTGTTGATACCAGTAAGATTTTATCTCTAGGGTTTATTATTTGGGTTCTTCTACCGAAGCTCCATAAAGGATTTTTCACTGTTACAGTTTAGGTTACTTTTCCTTCTTTGGTCTGAGTCTTTTTCCCTCCTGTCCACGTCTTAGGGTTTTAGGAATATGGAAGTGATGGAATTGTAGTAGTTGGATTGTACAACTCGGTTAGCAAGGGAGCGACATTTTTTTTTTTTACTGTTTCATTCTTAATTTGGATTAGTGAAAATTAGAAAATTAAAAGGCATTTAATTGTATTTTGAACAATTGTCGGATCAATGTCTATTTGCAATTTGAGTAATTTTTGGTGTTTGTAGATTGCTCATTGTTCTTTGTTAATTTGCTGTGTAGTTGATAAGCTGACCACGGAGAACAGATTGCCGCATCTTTTATTGTATGGCCCACCTGGAACGGGCAAAACATCAACCATTCTCGCTGTGGCACGCAAAATGTATGGTCCAAACTTCCACAGTATGATTTTGGAACTCAATGCATCGGATGACAGAGGAATTGATGTCGTGCGACAGCAGATTCAAGATTTTGCTAGTACTCAGAGCTTATCATTTGGGTTGTCTTCTCTGTCCTTTATTACTTAATTTATACAACTTATAACCAGATAATTGTGTTTACTGTCTTATGATTGCGATGAATTTTTCTTTGTAGTTTTTGTTGTTGGTTTGTCTAATTTTAAGTTGGCTGTCAAATTGATATTTTTTAAGTTACTTTGTTTTTATGTGGTGAATGCTTAAGCAAGAAATATAATTCACACATTTGAGCTTGATAGCTTCTGAAATTTTTTGTTTGATTATGCTCCCGGTGTCTCGTGTTCAGTGTTTTACGTATTTCCAGGGTTCTGCATGGTGCGTTCCTACTTCCCATATTAGTCCGTTCGTCAAGTCAGAGAGTGTTTTCCTTTGTTTTAGTAGCTTCTCTGGTCCTAAATCTCCTGCAAATTTATTTCTCTAAAAACTGAGTTAAGGTGCTAAAATGTTGCTCCCATTCTTCGCATTATTACTCTTTATTCTGCAAGGTGCTTGCTAATCTTGCAATATTTTAGTGAAATATGCATTGCAGATTTCGACTCATATCTCTTTACTAAAAGTCTCTCACTGTGTAGTGGATAATTAGTGTAGTTATACAATTTCTCTTCCTGTTGCAGATATTACCAAATAAAACATTATAGGCAATACGAGGACATTTATATAATTCCTTTTTGTTCATTTTAATTTTCATTTGTGATGGTTTTGATTTTCAAAGGCCTTGGCTATTATTTGTTTTCTTTCCTTATTTTGTTTTGCTTGCATGTGCTGATGTACATTCGATTTGGAAGTTACATGAATCATAGACAAAAGTTTAACCAGATATGAACAGTTCCTTTTTGTTTATTGTTCTGGAAGTGTCCTGGAACTGCAAGTTTTGCCTAGACTAACTATCTAAAATTCTCTGTTCAGTGTTAAGTCCTCTGTAAAACTGGTATTGTTAGATGAAGCGGATGCCATGACAAAGGATGCCCAGTTTGCATTACGTAGAGGTGTGCACTCATTTTTATACTTTAATGTAGCTTACATCTAGTTTCTTGAATTATAATTCCCTTATCTTCTTTTGATGCAGTGATTGAGAAATATACAAAAAGTACCAGGTTTGCACTTATCTGTAATCATGTAAACAAGATTATTCCTGCACTTCAATCTAGATGCACTCGGTTTCGGTTTGCCCCTCTTGATGCCATCCATGTCACTGAAAGACTGAAACATGTTATTGAGGCTGAAGGGTATGCTCCTGTTATCTATTATCTAGTCTGCATGTGATAGCTGGAGTCAGATGCAGTCTTTTGCCAAGTTATTTTCTCACATCATCTGGAACCTTTTTTTTGAAAATTTCTGTTGAATTATTCTCTCTAAGTTAGTTGGGCACTTGTGCATTTTGAGTGCCAACATAATGATAATGAAGCCAATGAAATTTTCATTGCTTATATCCTCAGAACATGAATTTATTTTGTTCGTATTTTAACACTTTCCAGTAATAATATATCTTCTGAAAGCTGGTGATTGATAATATTTCACGTGAAAATTCTGCTTCTTTTGGATATCAGTTTGTTCAGATGGAAGGGGCTGGGAGGGGAGAAAATGCACTTCCCAGCTTTCTCCTGAATGTATCACGTATACATCCATCTGCATTCATTTCATTATACAAAAAGCTTGTTTTAATTTGTTCTTATTTGATAGTAGTTATTACCCTATATAAAAGATTATCTTCTGTAAGAGGGTTGCATCTTTTTTTTCTTCATTTTTTTATGCAAAATGTCTGAATGTGCCATACAGAAAATCGTAATCCTAAATGCATTTACATGGCAAAATTTAACTTGAACTTTCATTTCATATAAAGAAAATGATTAAAAAATGAGGGTTGTATGTGTTAGTGATATTTTTTATGCTTAAATCCATTTGTGTATGCATAATGAAATACTCCATGAAAAGGGATATTATACACACTAGTGAGTACTGATAATTGAATCATAGGCACGGTCAGAGAGAAATGAAGAGCACATACAGTTCACAGTTTTAAACTAAGTAAGACCTTTTTTGTGTGTGCATCTCTCTGTAACTGCTCGTACAGTTCAACTCCAAGTGTTTCAAAGTCTTGAATTACTTCAACTTTTTTTAGTTAATTAGCGTGATCAGATAGTTTAACAAACTATGTCTTTACTTTGGATTTTGAAATTGTTTAGGAGTCCTGTGCAACATAAATTAAATTTCTTGTACACGCTAAAGTTTTTTAATGCATCTCACATCTGTGCCCTTTTTATTGATCCACTATATTTCTAATTTTATTATAAACATTTGTTATGTTGTGATTCAATTTTTTACTTAATAATTTACAATTTGTAATTTGACTAGGCTTGATGTTCAAGATGATGGTTTAGTAGCTATTGTTCGGCTTTGCAATGGTGATATGAGAAAGGCTTTGAATACTCTTCAGGTAAATACGGTTCAGTTTTCTTGTATAAAAATCTAGCTCTGCTAGTCCTTTTATTTTTGGAAATGAATATTATACTGTTTCAGTTTCTGCCCTTCTACTGTTTATAGCGTCATACATATTGAGATGTGTGTAGAACACACACTTGTATTCATAAATGATTATACATATAGCACTAAAAAGCAGGAAGGGGGGGGGGGGGGGGGTTCATAAATGATAAAGTGTTGACATGGCAAGTATTAAATCTGGTACGTTAGCTTAGATAATGACTACCCGTGCAACATGATCTGAAAATATAAAACTCTTGAATAACTTCTCTATTGTAGATTCTTGCTTGAAAACTTCTAACTTTAATGGGTAGCAATATACATCACAATAACAGTAGCATTATTTCATTAGGCGAGGTCAGTCCTGGATTACTCAACACCATTGGGGTAGGTCAAACATAATTTTCAAGAATATTTTCACTGGCATCCCTTTTGATAATTATTCTCAATCATTGTTGGTTTCCCTCTATCCCTTTTCATAGGATTGGACACAGTGGAATCTACTCTTGTTACTAGTGACATCTTTGCAAATGTCTAAGTCACCTTAACCAAAACTTTGTCTTCTCCTTGATAAGTGTCTCACCAAATCTCCTTATATTATGTGTTAGATATTGTTTGATATTGTTAACCACACAATATCTTCTGTTTCTTCTGTTTACTTTCAGTTACTCTTTTAGTTATACCTCTCTCTATTATAAATAGATTACCCTGTGTGGTTTACACAAGGGAGATTAACCCTATACAGTTTTTTCCTATATTCAACATGGTATCTAGAGCTTAAGGTTTTTGAGAATTTTTTTTTTCGTCCCTGCCATTGCAACAGTCGCTGTTGCAGCCACTGCCATCGTCGTCGTCGCCGGAGTGACCGTTTTGACCGCCGAGCACGGGATTTTGCTCGCCTCGACCACGCGACCTCCACGATGGAAGTTTCACTGTCATCGAAGCAGCCACGCTCCCTCACGCGCCACCCAAAAAGCGTCACCATCTCGCCTTGCCGCCGTGCGTGGCGGTTGTCGTCCCTTCGTTCAGGCCGCTGCCACCTGCGCTAGACTCACCTCGTTCCCCTCTTCCTGAATCTGTTCTCGTTGCTCCAATCGAACCTCTTTGGTGTTTTAGGATTTTTCTCTCTCTTCCTCCATGGCATCTTCCGCTGCCTCTTTCGGCTCTGAAATTTCTTCTCTCAGATCCAGTGGATCTGACTAGTCAATCTTTACTAACTATATCAATGTGAATTTGCCCATTGATAAGTTAGATGGCACGGATTATGCAACTTGGGCGTCCGACATTAAACTTTGGCTTGAGAGCCAGGGGTATGTTCTTCATCTTACTTAAAAGGTAACTAATATTGCTTCTGGTGATCTTGTACGTTGGAAGAAAATTGACGCTCATATATGCATGGTTCTCAAGAATACCATCCAATCTTCTTTAAAACAAATTTTTCGATCTTATGGCACATGTTTTGAAGTTTGGGAACAAGCCAAATTATTATACACCAATGACACTCAATGTCTTTATGGTGTTTGTTACAACCTTTTTGATATTATTGCTCCTCGGGATAAGGATCCTGTGACGGATTATGTGGGTAAGATACATGCTCTTCTTCATGAATTTAATGAGTTATTACCTCCTGCATCACTCCTACCCAAGAATTAAAGCAACAGTCTAAGTTTTTCATGGTTTTAATGTTACACGGACTTGCTGATAAATATTTCTATGTCTGTGACCAGATTTTGGGTTTCTCTGTTACACCTAATTTTACTTCTACGAGTTCCTCCCTTCTGCGTGTGCCATGTAAACCTCTCAATGATCCCCTGTTTTTACTAATGATTCCTCTGCTATGGCATCTTAACGTGATGATCACAATCGTTCTCACAAGCCAGGCAAAGGGCGTCACAAGTGTGACCAGTGTGGCAAGCTAGGCCACAAAATTGACAGATGTTATGCTTTACATGGTCGTTCTCCTCGATCTGTTGCCATTGCTCAGACTGATCCTTCCTCACAATCATCTGTTGTGGATCCTCCTTCATCTATTCTCCCGACATCAAACAAATCTGCCATCTTCAATTATTTTCTTAAATGGTATGAGGATCGTAAGCCCTCTAGTTCTACTGTTTCTGTTGCACGTACAGGTACATCTTTTGTTGGTCTGACTCAATCTTCTGCTATTGGCCCTTGGGTTCTTGACTCAGGAGCCACAAATCACATTATTGGTAACAAATCCTTATTTTCCTCTTTCTCCTCTCCCTATAATTTACCCTCTGTTACAATGGCTAATGGGTCTACAACTTTAGCTCATGGTGTTGGAACGATTAACCTTTTTCCTTCTTTATCCATTGATAATGTTTTATATGTACCTGGGTCCCCCTTTAACTTATTATCCATTAGCCGTCATCTAACTCATTCTCTTGATTGTGTTATCTCTTTTACCAGAACTTCTGTTTGTTTACAATATCGGAGTTCGAAACAAGTGATTGGCACCGGATGTGAGTCACATAGTCTTTATCATCTTTGACCTTCTACACATGTTGGCACAGTTATGAAGTCTCCTTCTCTCCTTCATGCTCAGCTTGGTCACCCTAGTTTGACCAAATTACAACAATTTGTTCCCAGCTTATCCCAGTTGTCCAGTTTGGTGTGTGAGTCCTGTCAATTAGGGAAACATAGTCGTAATTTCTTTCCTCGTAGTGTTTCAAAGCGTGCCTCATCCCCATTTGCCTTAGTTTACTCTGACATTTAGGGACCAAGTCGTGTTAAGTCTAATTTAGGTTTTCAATATTTTATTATTTTTATTGATGATTACTTCCGATGTACTTGGTTATTTTTAATGTAAAATCATTCTGAGTTGTTTTCCATATTCCAAACCTTTTATAATGAAATTAAGAATCAATTTGGTGTTTCTATTCAAACCTTCCGGAGTAATAATGGTTGTGAATATCTTTCAAACTATTTTAAACAATTTATGGCTTCTCATGGCATTCTTCATCAAACTTCATGTGCTTATACACCTCAACAAAATGGGGTGGCTGAACGCAAGAATAGACACCTTATTGAAACAACTCGCACTCTTTTAATTCGTGGTGCGATTTCTCAACATTTTTTGGATGATGTTGTTCTTACTGCATGTTATCTTATTAATCATATGCCCTCTTCAGTTTTAGATAACAAAATTCCTAATTCTATTTTATTTCCTCGTGACCCTCTCCATCCTTTGCCTTTGAAGGTTTTTTGGGTTCACATGTTTTGTCCACAATTTTGATCCTGGTCATGATAAGTTATCTCCTAGATCACACAAATGTGTTCTTCTAGGATTTACTTGATCACAAAAAGGATACAAGTGTTTTTCTTCTTCTCTTAATTGCTATTTTGTGTCTGCAAATGTCATCTTCAATGAGTTTTCATTTTACTTGAAGGGTCCTCTTCTACCTGATGAGTCTCCATCTACTATTGTTCACATTCCTGTTATAATTGATCCTCCTGTTAAGCATAATCCACCATCGGACCCTCCTCCTCCACCACCCCTTCAGGTTTATAGTCGAAGACCTCGTCCACAACAAACACCACGTGACTCACTCTCAGTGTCAAATACTCTATCTCCTCCGGCTCTCTCCACTAAGTCTGACCTTCCCGTTGCCTTTCGTAAAGGTATGTGTTCTACTCGTAATCCTTCTCCACATTATACTACTTTGAGTTACCATAGAATTTCTTCACCTTTTTATACTTGCCTCTCGTTTATCTCTTCTGTGTCTATTCCTAAATCTGTTCCTGAAGCCTTAGCCCACCTTGGTTGGCATCAGGCCATGCTAGATGAACTCAATGCTCTTCAGAATAGTGAAACTTGGGAGCTCGTCCCATTACCATCTAGAAAATTTGTTGTTGGTTGCAGGTGAGTCTTTGCTATCAAAGTTGGTCCTGATGGTACTATTGTTCGCCTCAAAGCTCGCCTTGTAGCCAAAGGCTATACCCAAATTTTTGGATTGGATTATGGCGATACTTTCTCTCCAATGACAAAGATAGCTTATGTTCGTTTATTAATCGTAATGGTTGCTCTTCAACAATGGTTTCTTTATCAATTGAATGTCAAAAATGTTTTCCTTAATGGAGATTTGCAAGAAGAAATTTATATGGAACAACCGCCTGGATTTATCAACTAGATGTCATTGTTCTTACAGGCAGTGATCACCATGGCATCTCCCAGATGAAACAACACTTTTGCCACCATTTTCAAACCAAAGATCTTGGCAAACTCAGATATTTATTGGGTATTGAGGTGGCACAATCTTTCGATGACATTGTTATATCTCAAAGAAAATATGCATTAGATATTTTAGAGAAAATTGGGTTGATGAATTCAAAGCCTGTTGACACACCCATAGATCCTAATACCAAACTCCTGCCAAATCAGGGGGAGTCTATGTCAGATCCTGAGCAGTATGGAAAATTAAATTACTTTACAGTTACTCGTCCTGACATTTCTTTTGCAGTCAGTGTGGTGAGTCAATTCCTCAATTCTCTATGTCAAGATCATTGGAATGTAGTCATCCGTATATTAAAGTACATCAAAAGGTCTTTTGGAAAAGGTTTGTTGTATGGTTCCAATAATCATACAAGAGTTGTGTGCTATTCAGATGCTGATTGGGTAGGATCTCCCTCTGATAGAAGATCTACATCTAGGTATTGTGTCTCCATTGGTGGTAATTTGATCTCGTAGAAAAGTAAGAATCAGAGTTTTGTAGCAAGATCCAGTGCAGAAACAGAATATAGAGTTATGGCCTCAGCTGCCTGTGAACTTGTTTGACTCAAACAATTGTTTAGAGAGTTATAATTTGGAGATGTTACTCAAGTGACACTTGTGTATGACAATCAGACTGTTTTTCATGTTAGTTCTAATCCAGTCTTTCATGAGAGGACCAAACACATTGAGATTGACTGTCATTATATTCGAGAAAAGATTATGTCTGGAGACATCAAGACTGAGTTTGTTAACTTAAGTGATCAGTTAACAGATATTTTTACTAAATTTATGGGGGCCTAGAATTGATTATATTTGTAACAAGCTTGACACATACGATTTATATGCTTCAGCTTGAGGGGGAGTGTTAGATATTGTTCAGATATTGTTTGATATTGTTAAAATATTGTTAACCACCATATCAAACAATATTTTCTGTTTATTCTGTTTACTTTTAGTTACTCTTTTAGTTGTACTTCTTTCTATTATAAATAGATTACCCTATGTGTGTGGTTATACATAAGGGAGATTAACCCTATACAGTTTTTCCCAATATTCAACAATATGCAATCAATTCGTATCCTGTGCATTCTCATGTCACCACATCTATGTCAACATTCTCATTTCTGTTAATCTTATTTTTCTTCCTTGTTGTCTCTTTAAGGCCCAACGTTCACTACAATAGAGTATAACTGGTTTGTACAGTTGTAAGATAAAACTTTCCTTTGAGGTTGATTGATATTTTATAGTCACAAGTAACCCAATGTTCTTCTGCATTTTAACCACCCAATTTGTATCATATGTGTGACGTCTTCATTAATTTTCTTATCATTTTTAATATTAATCCCAAAACCATGTTCTTATTTCTTGCTAAATTTGCATTGTATGTTGTCTTGCCCTTCCTTATTCAAGTGAAAACCGTTGGATTCCAATGTCTAGGGTTAGATCTAACTTATCACTTGATTCCTCAATTAGAACCATATTATCTGTTAGAAAAATGCATTTGGGGATAATTTTTGGCCTGTCCTTGGTTATTTTTTGTACCTTTCTGTCGACCCCTTTAAAAGATAAATAGCTTTTGTTACTGACATTCTTGGCATATATGTTTCATGTAAATATGTGCTTAAGTGATCCAGTTGATAATTTTCCATAAATATGTTTGTACATGGAATGTTCAGATGATTTGTGCATGTGTTACCATGTCATTTGTGTTTATGTCAGCGTGAGCTAAATTTATGAAAACGATTGGTAAAACATGGCTTATACTGGATATTATATGACCTTTTCCCATCATAGCCGAGGAGGCTGATATTGTATGTAATTTCTTTGTAAGTGATAGACATCTTGCTTATTTATGAACTTGTACTGTATAAAGAAAAGGAAGGTAAAGTATAATATAATAGGGACTGGACTGAATGTGTATGTAAATAGGAAAGTAATCTTCTCATTTGTTATTCTCATTTTCTTTTTAGATGCAAATGCTGGTTAGCATTCTTAAACTTCTCGCATCACATGATTTTCTTTCATTCATCTTGTATCCAATTGTCAAGGACAAGTAACAGTTTTCTATTTTTAATCATGGGAAAAATGGTATGAATTATTATATCTTGGGTTTTTTTAACAACGGACTGCAAATGACATATTCTGTTGTTTTAATATTTGCATAGTCAACAAATATGGCTACTCAGAAGATAACAGAAGAAGCTGTTTACCTTTGCACTGGAAATCCATTGCCCAAAGACATTGAGCAAATATCTTACTGGCTTCTAAACGAACAATTTGCAGATAGCTTTAAAAGTACGGATTGACTTGTTACCCTTTATAATTTTGCTGAATATTTTTGAGCAATTTATGATTTTTGTTTGGTGTTAATTTTAAATAGGAATAGATGAAATGAAGACCAGAAAAGGGTTGGCCCTGGTTGATATTATCAGAGAAGTGATAATGTGAGTCGTATGCATCATACTGACTGTCGAACATCCTGAAACTTTTTTTTTTTCATCATATTTTCACTTTATTGTTATTACAGGTTTGTTTTTAAGATTAAGATGCCTTCAGCTGTTCGAGTACAATTGATGAATGATTTGGCAGACATAGAGTATGTATTTCTTCCCTAAAAAGATGCTATTATCCTTCTGCCTTGCCTGATGAACAGATGGTAGTTGCACTAAATAAACATTTCTCGAGACGTTGTAAAAAAAATATATGTACAACAATTTGAAAGGCCTTTAAATAAGATTTAGGCCAGATCAAGCTTTTATGCTTAGGAAAAAGACCCACCATTACAGGTAAACAAGTCAGTGTTAAAGCTGATATTTTGCTAAAAGGAATTGGTTTATTTAGGTCAAGTCTAACTTGGTCTAAACCCATTTCCAACTCTAATTACACATGGGGTCGTGAACAAGCATAATAATGAAAGGAGCAAAAATAATTTGGCTAAATTTAACTTGGATTGAAGAACAAAATTTCTGTCTCTTTTTCCCCGTATCTTGGGCATTTGGATATCAGACTCTCTTAATAGTAAACATAACTTAAGCAGATTTACCCTGTTCAGACGTCATAAATACGAGGAGTGTTAGATGGTAGAGAATGTGTTAACAAATGCATTGCTTGTAGTTCTCTTGTACTAAGCACATCTTAGAATTGCATAAATTAAGAGCTTCTATGCGATATGATGCTTTAGCCACATGCTATACTACATTCATATAGTTTTGACATCTAAGATATTGCTTTCCCTAGTTGATGATCCATCCAAAATGCTTTGTCATCTTCGAGCTGCTTGGCTCATGTTAGACGGTGGTAGATTAATATATTATGGAGCTCTAGGTATAGAGTTTTTTTTTTTAACATAATCTCATTTATTGGCTTATATTGACGCTTTGAATAGGGATTTATGACCCCTTCTATCCCTTTTATTTTATTTCCTCCCATTTTATTATTGAAATTTCCGCTCTTTCCAGTGGTTGTTGTAATAACCTAAAATTTGTCTCTGGTTAACTAGAATTCGGTTTATCTGATTAACCATGATCATGTATTAGAGATGACATCATTGCATGATCTTTCCATAAAAGGGGTAAATTATAATATGAAATTTTAATAATGAATAATGGGTCAAAGGAAAAACGAAACCTGTCTCTTCTCCCTGGTGTTTTTGGACTTATATTAGCTGTTACGATAATGGGAATTAAATTTTATCTCTTCCAGGTACAGATTAAGTTTTGGGTGCAACGATAAGCTTCAACTTGGATCAGTTATTGCTTCTTTTACACGTGCTAGATCTGCACTGGTTGCAGCTGCTACATAGCCTACTTCTGAATCCGATGCACTGGGTCTTTCACATACTCTTGTTTGGCTTGTTTGATTTCCGTAGCAATGTTCACTATAGAGAATGGGATTCTGCGAATCTTAATTTGTGTTAAGTATATGTCATCTCTTTTAACATTCGACTAGTCTTAAATTTTCAAGTTTTTCCTCAAAATTCTGATGTAGGATATCCCTATTTGGTTAAAGTTTACTTCCGTCATATTGCTATTTTAGATGACACCATAGGTTTGAAAGATTAGATCAAATCAAAGAGCTGTTTTGACACAATACGATGAAAACCCTTGGAAATTATTAAACATTGCTTTCATATGCGAGGATTTATCAACATTTTATTGGGGTCGGATGTTCCTGTCAAAATGGAAAATGGCATATCTTTTTATGTATTCGTGGGTCAAAAGTACTGAAAAACGCCTAACAAGCAGTAGAGTACGTCTCATAATATTTGCTCAGAGATTTAGTAATATTTGTTTATATTTCAACATCTGTTTCCACAGAGCCGTAGTAACCCAAAAAAGTATGGTCAATTTGTAAACCAAATACAGCTAGCTGCAAGCATAAGTTGACTTATTTAACATTTGTCTGGTTTAGCATTAATTCAGAGATGAATCCAACCACTAGTATAATTTTCAAGTTCCATATTTGTTGATATGCTAGATTACATAGTATTATCTCACTCATTAAAGGTTGCAACTTCATAGGACATGAAATATGATTTATTATTATTTATTAAAATGAGAATGACGAACTATTTTGTTTGAACATTTGATATTTAATGTCTTGAAATTATGTTAAAAATATTAAACATGGAGGAAACACAGTGTGTTTAGGAAACTGCAATGTGAGTCTGACCCTATTTTGGCTCTTCATCTTATTACTGAAATTAGGAGGAGCAACATCCATCATTATGCTGCTATAAACAGAAAAATTCAAGAATTAAAGTATCTTGACTGGGGGCTGCATTTCCAGCACACCTTTAATCAAGATAACATGTATTACAAGTGAATTGGCAAAGGTTGAATCTTCCTCTCAATGTGATCGTTCTATGTTAAACTAGTGTTTGCTTATAAACTAGATGCTCAATAAGTGAGGATGTTGTTTGCTTCTTTTGATCTTATGATATAACTTATGATAATGGTAACTTATGATATAACTTTCAAGTATTAATTAAATGTTAGCATATAATAAAAACCATGAAACAGATAAACTGAAAGAAGGAAAGAAACAAGGAAAAATTTGAAAGAAGAAAAGAAACAGTGAAACAAAACTTTCTCTTGTGTTAGCCTGGAAAAGAGAAAATACAACTGGTTTTGTACACCGGAAAAGCATAAAACCCAAACAACAACTAAGGGAGAAATAAAAACTATACGGTCTTCTAAAACAAAAACAAAAAACTGACTTTTAACTTACACAATTTCGAAATGAATTTCTATAAATAAATATTTATTTATTTATTTATAAATTTATTCAATTTGTAAATTTATAAATAATTTTTAGAATTTTTATTAATTTATTTACTCAATTAGACTTGTTTATTGTTTTTATACAATTATTTTTTTCTTTATCTTCATAATTTTTTTATATTTTTTTCTCTTTTCATTCATTTTTTATTTTTTTCTTTTTTCTATTTTACATCACTTAATTGTTTTTTTCTCTTCTTTCTCACTTATTCTTCTAATTAAATTACTATATTAAAATTTAATAAAAATATTTTTAAATAAAAAATAAAACTAAAAAAATACTAACTAATTATTTAAAATTATGATGACAATAAATAATTTATTTATTTTGAGAATAAATAATTAATTTAAAATTATTTTATCATAATAAATAATTATTTATCTAATTAAAAAATTTCAAATATTTATAAGTTAAATGATTTTTTTATTTAATAATTTAATTTAGTTATAATTAGATTGAATTATGATCATTAGTTACATTAGGTAATTTAAAAAAAATTATTAAAAAATTAATTTAAAATAAATATTTAATTTTTTCTTAATAATTATAAGATAATAATAATATTTGTAATCTTTCAAATTTATCATAGAATATTTTTTAAATATAATACATCAAATTATAGTACTCTAGATATTTAAATATTTTTATTTTTTAGCAATAATAAAATACTCAAATCAAATTTTAATTTACTATTTTTAATTGAAGAATAAGATGGAATGAAAGAAAAACAAAAGAGGAGAAAAGAGAAAAAAAACGTAAGAGAAAAAAATACTAAATAAAAAGAGTAAAAGAAAAAGAAAATAGATGAAGAGAGAAAAATAAATATATTGAGTCAAACAAATTTATTTCTCCTTGTTGAACTTTTTGTATGAATAATAACAGGTGCAGTTAGCTAAATAAACTTAAAAATTATATTTAACTAATTTTTTTTATAATATATTATTTATAAAATTGATTCACAAATTCACTTCAATTTTTTTTATCATATAATATTTTTGTAAGTTGGAATATATATAAATGATGTTTAACTTGTACAATTTATTTTTTATTATATAATATCCTTGCAAGTTGGAACATATATATATAAATGATGTTTAACTTGTACAATTTATTTTTTATTATATAATATCCTTGCAAGTTGGAATATATATATATATATATATATATATATATATATATATATATATATATATATATATATATATATATATATATATATATATAAATATGATGTTTAACTTATACAAATTTATAAAAAATAATTTGACAATAATAGTAAAAATGTCAACAAATCGCGAAACAGATAGGAGATAAATAAAACTCTTTATACGAATAAAATATTTTGTTAATAAATCTCCTATATTTGGTAGGATTATCTAATAAATCACTTGAATCATCCCTAAGATTGCAAGAAGATCATGGGAGAAGAAGTAAGTTTATTACTAGAAGAAAATCAAAACAATATTTTCTCTAGTTTAAAATAATGTCTTAAGTGAATAGAACAACTTCCAAGCCTAAGAACTACTTAAGAAGACCTATATCCTTGATATCAAAAGAACATGAAATTTTTAGATAAAAGAACATGTTCATCTTAAACAAACCATTAACACAATGGAAGTGGGTAGCTTCTTGATAAAAAAATGTAATTTTGACATAACCCAAAGAAAGAAGAGTGAAAGTTAATTTGGAGTTCCGCTTGAGAACATAGGTGTTAGATTACAAACTTGTTTGAAACATGTATAAGGAAGACTAGGAGTAATTTAGGGTTTTATAATGAGAGTGTGTACATAAGTTTTATTCAAGTCAAGAGTATTTAACTCTTCTTGCATGATAGCTCTCTAACAGTGAGATTTAACAAATAGAAATAATGTTCAAATAAAAAGAAGAGAAAGTAAAAGATTACTTAGTGTAGGATAGGTAATTTTGAATGGGATAAACAGTTACATTGAGACAAATGTTTCAACCTCTCCCGTTATTTCCAAAATTTCCACAATCTAATAAATTATAAAAGATCGTGGAATCCTCTTATTAACAATTGAAAATTCTTCTTGTAAATTAACAATTCCAAATTTATTATCTTGCGAAAAAATATTCTTTAGATATTTTCTTAGATCAACAGCACATTTTATCCGAAGAACGTGTTATTGCATTACCAACCATTATACAAATGATCAAGAAAACTATCAATTGATTGAATCTTGTTCTTAGTGGTGATGCAGCCCAATAAGGTTGGATTGGTCCATCTTACCGCTCCTATTTGGGCCTACAACATCTGCCACAACCTCTCAAACCAAACATAAACAACGTATTTTGGGTGAGTGAATTCGGATCATGAGTTAAAAATACTAAAAGAAAAAGTTAAATTAAAATAAATTACTTTGATCAAATGCAAGAAGAAAAAACTAAAAAATATATTGAAATTACAACGAATAACTAAAGTGTAAATATATCTTAATTATTGAATTTTATGTTTTTTTTATTGATTCAAAATTTATGCTTACCAAACGAAAGAATAATTACTATATGCAACATAAGATATGACAATGTTATAAAGTATTGCACATATTTTTATAATGTGTTGAAAAAGTGTTGTTATATAAGCTAATATGATATCTTCTTTAAAAAAAAAAAAAACTTTAACTCTTATTTATATATTACTTAATTTTTAAATTTTGTCCAACATACAACTTCAACTCCCTTGCATTTCAACACCTATCATATCTGGAAAGTTCTCATAGTCAAACTTATTAGACCAAATATTATTCACGTTGTTGATTTTGGTCATATAGATCATTTTGGACTCAAATACGAACAACATTGGATCTTCTTATACCTACGAATATCATCATCAGTAGTATCACATTTTGTTAAATGTTTTGCCAACATGCTTGATGAGTTTCATTATTTTTATTCATTAACTGTGCCAAAAAAAAAATAAATGAAGATTATCACTTGTTAGAAAATCACAACATATTATGATATAGTAGAAAAACTAGATTCAACAAGCCCCGCCCGAAAACGATAATAATAAAAATAAAAAACACGAACAACGTTGTTCAAATCTGAAGAAGCTAAACAATTATGGAGTGTTAAATCTTAATTTTAATTAAACGCCAATTTCTATAATTTCGAAATCATAGTAAAAAATATGGTGGGTTATATAACACAATGGTTTGATTGTAATGTAATGATTTACACTGCTTAAGTAAAGTGGATGGAAAGTACAGGGATTTAATGAATTAAAGTGTGGATTTAGCATCGCATTTGAGACAGTAAATATAAAATGTTGATCACGGATACTGAGTTCATTGTTAATGCTACAATCACGAACAAGGGATTAAATTATTGAATTTGGATTGTGACGGGGAAGAGAAAAGCACTTTTGCTTTGTTTGGACTCTGAATTTGCTAAGAACAGATTACTAATAATTTATATATAATATATTTTTCTTAACTTGTTAAAAATTATCAAACAAATTCAAATTAATATAAATAAATTTACAATAATTGAATTTATTATATCCGAGAGGAACGTACACGTTTTAGAATTTTAAATAGCTATAGTTTTATCTTTAAATTATTCTTAATTTTAATTCTAAATTTACGTGAAAATTATGAAATTGATAGATTAATTATTAGTACTTGAAATTAAGACCCAAACAGCCGGTTCAATTTAATTTAAAAATCGATTCATTATTTTTAAATAATCCTATTTTAATGATAAAATCGAGAACATCAATTGAGTTATTAGATACAACCTGGATAGAAAAAAAAAAAGATAAACATTTTTTAATATATTTTTTAGAAGATATAATATATTTTAATTTTTTTTATCTCATATTAATTACATTAATTTTAAATAATAATAATTTATTATATTTTATTTTAATAATTATTTATCTTACACTTTTTAATATATTTTATATTTATAATTTTTATTTTTATTTATGGTAATCAAGATAATAATATTTATTATTTTTTTAAAATTATTCCTAATAAACTTATTTATTATTATATTATAAAAATATTATTTCATTAAATCTTATTCAACCTAATTAAACCATTAAATTCTAAATTAATGTATTCCCCACTAATCCGATTTTAAATAGATTGACAAATAATATAAGATTCCTTGCTTGTCCATAACTTATAATCTTCAACTCCTTTAACGGGTTTGGTCAATTTCCACGAGCTTATACGATCTATTTTGTCAAATAATTAACTATTGTTAAGGGTTTTTAATGGTCAAAGGGTGTTTGTGGATAAGAATTAAAAATAAGACTCTAAAGCGTGGAAAAAGCAAAACTATTAGTTAACAATTGAACCTAATCTCCTACCAATTAATCCACACTCTGAAAATGCTCAACTAATTTTTTGGCATTTCAAACATTAGGAAGAAAAACTAATCTTACTAAATTTTTATTCAAATACGCACGCTAACATTACTGCATATAAAAACACTGGTAACTTGCAGTACTGAAAATATTAATTCAGTCAATTTTTTTATAATTTAACAACGCGATAATAGCATAATAAAACATGAATAAAACAAGGTCAAATGAGATAAAAATAGTTCTAATTGTATTATTTTTTATTTAGTGTGATTTTGGTATCAAGTTTTCTTTATGCTAGAAACAATGGACTTATAGAGCCCAATTTTATTTAAACTCCAGGCCTATCCAGTATCCATATATATATATATATATGTGTGTGTGTGTGTGTATATGTGTGTGTGTACCTTGATGGATTGAGATTGAACCAAATCTCACCCTACTGTACAATTTAATGGGTTAGACCCTCTATAGTGAATATTTTGTAGGGCTAAACCCTAAAAATATGAGTTTATTCAATGAAAATATATATATATAAACCTTGTATTACTTTCACGGCAGTAACATAAATGAAGAGATTGCAATAATGAAATATTGGCTTTAATTAAAAATGAAATCAAGAATACTTCTAATACCACATATCTTGGTATTTTGATTTAAAAACAAAAATAAATGATTTGTAAGTTAATAAACCATATACAATGCGTGTGTTTAATTTAATCTAACTTCAACACTTGTGGTTGGTAAGGATAATGCGTGCTTGTGGACCTGAAAGAGAATTGGGGAACATGGAAATGGAAAAATAAGTAATAAATGTCACCTTCGCCTTCATCAAAACTAACTCCTGCACATGGATTAGTTCATTTTGCTTTTAAAATTTCAGATTGTGACGAATTGAAGAGGTTTATTGTTTTCTGTGTATAGCTTGGTCATGAATTTGTATTTTGAATCCACCGGAATTTGTGGAAAAATGAAATAGCCGGAATAATATAATGGTGGTATAAGATTGTTGAATCCCAGTAGCGAAAAACTATTATTTAGTGATGAAAATGAACAAGTTGAAGCAGAAGAAAGTGTATTAGCGTATTTGACCAAGAATAACTAAACTCGTTTTGGAGTATTAATTATATGGCGTAGACAAAGCTCAATTTAAAAAGACACCCCTAAGTAGGTACTTAACTGGATTAATGTGATGTAATACAGACTAATACTAATGATAATATATGATTAAACAAATATAAATTAGAAGGTCGAAAATGAGCTTCTATCAGATTTGTTTTTTGAAGAGAGAACTTCTATCACATGACAACAACCTGTGGTGTACCTATCTAAATTCTACAGTAGCTGTACACAAGCTACTACTAGGGACAGCTCAATCATGCACCGTTGGATCGTCGTCATCGCAAAGCAACACAATACTGAAGCACAAAGTGGACCCAACACATGCGTTTCCAGCTCCAATGTTTTTTTGGATTTTTCTGGCCCAACTCTTGCAATCGATAATCGTGTGAGATGTTGCACAGGCACACTCATGGACCTTCAGTCTCGTGCTGCCCTGCAATGTGAATGCCTGATGCTGTGTGCGGCGGCTGTGGGCGTCGTAGGAATATATTGAGGGGTGTGAAAATCAAAAGGACTTGGGCCAGTACATGAACATGTCCTGCAGCGGCGACATCTGAATATTATTGTTATTATTGCTCGGAAATTGGGTGAAGCCGTTGCTAAGAGTGGCATCTATGTAATTATAGGAAAACTCCAAGCCCTTCTCCCATTCGTTCCACTTCGGCTCGCTCTGCACCTCGTTTGCAAATTCCGGTGAAACCACCTGCTCCGAACAGCTCGAGTCTGTGTGCAGCTTCGGGATTGAATCCGACGGATCGAAGTACATGTAATCCGTAATCGGTGGCGGCGCCAGCGGAAGACCTCCTCCGGTTTTCAGAATCTCCGGCTTCTTTTCTTCGATTTCCGACGATTCAGTTTTCCGACTCATAATAACGTCGCTGCTCGGTTGTAATTTCTCGATCGTGCCCTTCTTGTTGTATATACGGCACAGCACCCAATCATCCAACTGCAAATCAGAACCGTATTCTTATTAGTTTTCATTATTCATTTATTAAAATAAATGTAAAATTAATTTGTCAATGGGATGATGGAAGTGAGAGATAAGAAGGAATATTTCTATAAATAGAAAGTGATAATTGCTATTGACAGATTTTTTTTTTTATTATTTTCCCACAGCAATTATTGTTTGATTATGGTAGGGGCTTTTGTTGTTTTAATGTGATGCGAAGTTTTGGGCCCGAATAAATCAGCCCACACCACATGCCGGAAAGTCTTCAACTGGTGAAGGTTCCGCGCGGTTGTAATCACATGATAAAGGTGAGATAACATATTTGGACCATACATTTTGCATGGTTTCCACCAAAATCCTGGACTTATCATCATCCTCAGCTTCATGAAAAGCTAATGGAAGCGTCGTAGGGATAAACTCGTAATTTAACAATACAATTACTCTTGAACTAGTAAGGCATGTATGTATTGTATATGTATACGTAAGTAAGTACGGTGCATATACCCTTAGGCTGTTCTTTTTGCGAACGGAGCGATCTACATCAGCGAGACGATACTCGTGCATGATCCAATTGGTTTTGTCCCCTTTCGGAGCTTTTCCAGCGTAGAACACCAACGCTTTCTTGATCCCAACCGGTTTCGGGTGACCAATGGGCTTATCCGCCCCGGTTGCCTTCCAGTAACCGGTTCCCGCCGCCCGGTTCGGCCTCGAACCGTTGGGGTACTTCCGGTCCCGTGGTGAAAAGAAGTACCACTCTTTCTCTCCATAAGAAGCCAGACCTGTAAACAAAAAGTCAGATTAAGATGAACAGTAATGAAAATATTGAGCCGATTTGAAAAAGTTAAAACAAAAAAAATTGAAATGAAGATGTATTAATTACCGGGAAGGTCCCAGGGGTCGTATTTGTAGAGGTCGATTTCGGCGATGATGGGAACGGCGATGGGCTGCGACGCGCATTTGCGGCAGAGATAGTGCATGACGAGCTCCTCGTCCGTTGGATGGAATCTGAAGCCTGGAGGCAATTGAAGCTCTGATGTCATCTTCGTTGGGATGGATCTCTGGTTAATTTCTGAGGTAATGAATAATGGTTCACCCTATAACTCTACTTCAAGACTAATAAGACCAACTATGGTGGCGGCGCTTGAAACTTAGAACATAAGGGAGAGGCGTTTATTTATAGGCGATTGAGGGACACGTGGCGGCAGTAACCAGCAGTTTCTAGAATACACATGGGCGATAATGTTTAGGCAGTGGGCCTTTGATTTTCCATCCACTTTATTTTTTTCTTTTTATTCTATTCTATTACTACATTAGATAGTTTGTCCTTTTTTTATATATTTTTATTTATCGCCATAAGTGTTACTATGTGTATACATCATGGAGTAGAGCGTGGGAAGGAGTAGAAAGAAAAAAAAAAAACTTTTCATTTTTGTCTTTAATTGTAAATCCCATTAAATATTAATATTACATAGGTTAACAGCAAAGTTAAAGTGAAGATGGGCGTCATTATCTATTTATATTTAAAAAAAGTTGAGAAATGTATAACTCCTTTTTATTTTGTATTGTGTTCTGATTCCTTTTACATTTCCTTTTATTTTCTGGTGTTCTTTCGATACCTTTATTTAAGGTCTATTTGTATTTTTGAAATAAAATAAAATAGAGAAGGTGGGTGATAGGTAAGAGGACACGTGTCGTGCTGTCAACTGTGGTGCGCGCGTGTCGCGAGCCCACACGAGGTGATTTAGTCACTGCTTACGACACTGGTTTTGGAGCGAAGCGTGGGCTAGTCGGTTGGGGCCCACGGCGTCGATGGTGTTGGCATGGAATCGGCGCGTTGATTTGACTTTTGCTGCAGAATTTCAACAGTGGATGAAGGGTACACGTGTGTTGCATATGTTCACTTGCGTTGGATCACCACCTCGCGTGATTTATGATTTGTAATTTTGTGGCTTTTCTTCTACGACATAGGGCCCCACCTCACCGCGTAATCTCTACCACCTCTTCCGCATTCTTTTTTCTTTTCTAATTTTTCCCTCCTTTATCTTTAGTTTTCACCTCTTTCTAAAATATTCAAACTTCAATAAAGTTTACCATATAAATTTTAAATTCATCAATTTTTATATTCATTCAAATATTTAATATGTAATATTAATTAGATGAGAGGTAGTAAATGGTTGACAAAACAACGTATGTTTAGTTTTTAGAATAGTATTATTTCAAGAATATAATTATTATATTGTGTGCTAACGTATTCATTTTTACATGATTGATTAGGTGTTTAAAGAACTTATACAAATTTTTTTGGATTTATTAATTAATTGATTACTTGTTTATATTTAACCTATTTTAATATTTTTCTTTACAAAACCTTTTTTTTAATGAGGCTTATCATAATAGAAATTTATATTAACAATCATAATTTTAACATGAATTCTTGTGTAATACAGGGTTGCTAAAAAGTTATTCAAGTAAGTTGATAGTTTATTCAAACAAAATATTTATGTCAATTTTAAAACAGCATTTTATGTTGTATATGACGCATGTTTGATAATTTTTTCGAAAAATATTATGAACGTGTTAGAGTCTACTGTATGTTTTGATTGAAATTTTCTTTATTCGGATGATGATTAGGTGTATATATTTTGACAAGGCTTTATCAAGGTTGGAATATTTGTGGAAGGAATTTAACAAAGTCATGCAAGAAATCAGAATGATCACAGTGGATAAGAGCGTGTTGGTGTGGTAAATGCAAGTGCACTTGTTTGTGGGTTGATAATGATATTAAGGTTCATTTGTATTCATGTAAGAATGGGTTTATGCCCAATTATTACATATGTAGATTTTAATCACTGCCTCCTACATGTTTTAATCAACAATGTGTTAGTAGGTACAAAGGATAAATTGTTATTTAAAACTGATAAATTGAACCACTATGTCAAGGGGTTACGAAATCTTAATTATTAACATGTGCAACTAAAACTTAACATGTAGATCAGTCCGAATTATTATTATTATTATTATTATTATTATTATTATTATTATTATTATTATTATTATTACTTTTTCAAAATACTCTTTTTGTTTTAATAATTTTCATTGTTTCTCTTGCCAAATGTTTTTCACTATAAAAATTACTACTCAATAAATAGATTGGTGTATCAGAGGTTAAGAATATTGAATATTATGTGGATGATTAATACGATCAAAGATAATAAATTGAATGAATGAAAGTTCTGACAAGAGTAAAATTCCTTTTCCACTAAGATTAAATTGGACAAGAAAAAGTGATGGTGTGAGTAATGTTATTACGTTAAGTTTTATTTGTCAATTGTACAAAATACATGACAGTTGCATTGTTCAAGGAATGAAATAACATTATAAAACTATCATATGGATAAATTTATGTCATTCCTCTGTGACCCAGACTTCAAATATTTTGAAAAAATATTTTGAAATAATGGGACTGTATCCTTAATATTTAACTATTTTCATTGTATTCATTATTACCTGAAAGAATAGGTTACATGTTTCAAAAAGTTTACATATTTTCAATAAAAAGTAAACAATACATAAAAATAAATATTTATTTCATTATCTCTATTTCTGAGAAAAAAAATCATTGTAATTATATATCTATTATTTTGAAAATAATATTTTTATCTCAAATATATTAAAATAACGTTGACAAAGTTATCAAACCTTCGCATTTAAAACTTATCAAACACAAATCCTTAATTAAAATTAAAAATAAAATTATCTTTTTTATTTCGAAAACTATGTACACATTCCAACTGTAGATTCTTTAAATTAATATACTTAATTAATGATTGAATTTTATATTACTTAAAAAACAAAATTAAAACTAATTTATATGTATTTTCCTATTTTTATCCACTTAAAAATATTTTAATGATAGTATTATGATACAAATATCTAATTTTAAAATAGTTAATATTTCATTTAACATGATGAATTTAATTAATCACTAGAAAAATAATTCTAAGTTATAGAATTTGAAGATATTTATTTTGTCAAACATTACTCTTTTGTAAATTATTTTCTTAATATAATTAATATTTAATTTGTTTATATGAGTCATTAACATAAAGATCAATTTTTTAAATAATATTTTAAAAGATAGTATTTATCTCAGTATCGTTAGAATTGAAGTAATATTTCTACTTTATTGATTACATAATCAATTAAGAAAAAGAAATCAATTATACAAATATCTCATATCATTCTCAGTACTAACAAATGGTAAGAATTTATAAATCAATTATGCGATATTTTCACACATTACAGATATTTATAAATTATTTTTATAAAATAATTATAAAAAAAATATAGTTCTATTAAAATTTAAGTAACATTGAATGCTCCAGATTATACAAGCTGAACTTTGACTTTGAATATTAAACATTGAATGTAGAAAATCGATTACACGTGTGGTTAGATTAGACAACAGCAGAGGAAGTTACCTGGTAAGTACCCGAAACTTTTGATTTTTTTTTTATTTTTATTTCTATCAGTAGTAAGTATTCCTTGTCATGTGTGACTTTTATTGCGTAATATTAATAATTATGTTCAAAGTGTAAAGGGACACGAAAAAACTTGTTGAAAAGAAAATAAGAAAAAAAAAAAAAAAGATAAACATGCACGTGATGTGAGGTGTAAGGCGCTTAGGTGGATGAGTGGTGCGAAGTGGATGTATCTCAAAGTCATGCCGCTTGGTTCACTTTCGGTGTTGGGTGCTCTGTTTGTTTGTTTCCATGCGTCTTCGTGTTTCATCCTTCCCTCACTGCAATTTTCATGTTTTTCTGCTCTCGATGGGTAATCGCATGCTACCAATGTTTCGTCGTCCACGTTTTCTACACACCCACGGTATAAATTAATATATATTCAGAGTTTTAATATTTATATAATAATTTTATATATTGTACTTTCATTTTTTTTAAGTATGTTCAGTATTTTTCTTCATTTGTAAAAATGTTTTTCTTATATTTCAATAAAATATATTTAATTCTTATATTTATTTAAATAAATTATAAAAAAGTTATTATATATTAAAAATATAATACAAATTATACACATATTAAATTATAAATTTTCTTGTAAAAAAATAAAAAATATTTCTTTTATAAAATAAAGAAATAACTATAAAATTATTACTGATTAATATTAACTTACTTATATAATTTCCATAAAAGTATAAATATAAATAAAAGAATGAGTACACTTAATAGTTTATTAATAGCATCATAATGTGAATATTTTTAAATTTGTTATATTAGAATTTTATGGTATATTTTAAAATACTTTCTTTTACAAATATGTGATGTGGACATATTATAATTAAGTGTAGTGTTGAAATGGGTTGATATAATTATCAATGTGTTATTTTTGAGAAGTTATTATATTATAGAATGAAAAATCACTTTTAAAATGTGGTAATATTTTATAGATTATATCAAATAAAGGGTTGAAGCTCCAAATGATGCATTTTCCATCCGCAGTATAATTTGAATTTGTGGTTTTTTGTCAGAAAAATTAAATTATAGTCAATATGAAGAAACAGCTGACAATACAATGACGTTTATGTCAAAACACATGAAAATGTCATGTTTTTAAATAAAAAGATAAATTTTATTTAAAATAATTTTAACCATTCACTTACATTTGGTTTAAACCAGTGAGATAAAGCGTAGACAAAGGTAAAAAGTCGTTTTTGTTTTAAACGAAAGTTACAAAAGAGCGCAATTTACTAAACCGAAAAATATTCCTTAACTTAAAAAAATATTATATATATATATATATATATATATATTTGTAAAAAATTATCTGATTAATTATTTAATTACATAATTAATTATGTTATATTATTTTTATTTTGTCTGTATTAATCATTATTAAACTAAAATATAGTTAAAAGTATAAAATATCTTATATTAAGAATTAAATTCCTTTTGAACATGATATATTATAATAAAAACTAAAAAATAATATTTTATTATAATTAATATATATAATTAGTCTCTCTGTATAATTGTATTATTAATATTTATAATATATAACTAATTATAATATAATTATTTTATTAATATTTATATTTATTTTATGATGATAGTAATAAATAGTTAAAGATAATATTAAATAATCAAAAAGTTATTTTATTATTTTTTATTTTAAGTTTCTTTTATTTAATTCAAATAAAAAAAAATTCACTTCTTTAATTTATTTTATATTTTTATAGTAAATCCGCATCAAACAAAATTTCCATTAACACAATTCCCAAAATGTTGAAGAATAGTACTAAATCTTCCGTTGATTTAAAAATAAAAGATTCCCAAAATGTTAAGTATTAAATTATTTTAAGTTAGGAAGGAAATAGAATCTAAAATTTATAACTGCAGAGCTGAATATTAAGATGTTTATATATATATATTTATATGACAAGAAAGGAAAAACAAAATTAAAGATTGTCATGGGAAAGATTTTGCTAAGGCATTTATTACTTCATTATAAACCCAAAACATGCAAACAAGTATATTTAGTAAGTTAATTATCATGCAAACAATAAGACTCTAATAAACTAATCTGATTATTAATCAGATAGCCAATTAAAATACTACTTTTATATTATTAATCACGTTTTGAATTGAATTTCAATGTTTATAATTAAAAGTTAAACATAATTTTATATTATAGTTTTAGTTATTAATTATGTATCTAAAGTACAATTGCGTATTCAAAGCAATTTACTTATGATATAATTTATAAATTAAAACAGTTTATGATGAACCTTAAAACAATTCGTGACAAAATGAAATACTATTGAAAAAAATTATCTTGCAAAATTCATTTTAAATCCTATTAAAATACATTGATAATTCTTCATAGGGGATTAATTAAGACGAAGCTAAAATAAGCACGAGAATCAGCATTCATCCCACATTAAATAATTTGACCGAAAAAGATTAAATTTGATATATCGAGATGATAATTACTTTTGCAGAACATTGTATTAACAATCATTCAAAAGCTTAACCATTCTAATATTTATGAAAGATAAATATATCCGTCTCATTGAATAACGTTACAAAGTAGCAACAATTCTATTTATTAATAAAATAAATATATTTTGCATTGAAAATATATTAAAATTAATTTAAAACATTAATAATCAATCCAACAGAAAACTTTAAAGAATTTTAATATGCAGATAGTGGTCTACAATAAATTATAATAATTGATAACTAAAATTCTTTTAATATATTATCATTAGAGTCTTTTAGTATTGTTTAGTTGAAAAAAAACGTGACATTTGAGGAATAAGTCGTCATCGCCATTAAGTCCCCAACTTATTCCACACATGGTTTCAACTTAAATGAACAAATTCATGACAACGACATCAAACTTGAAGAACATTAAAAACATAAAGCATGATCAGAACAGAATAAGCAGGGTTTGGAGTTGAAACAAATTTTAATGCTAAAATTAATTTTCTGTTTTACTGCGAATGTTTTCTCGCCTTCATAATTAGTGGGGAACATCTTTAATCTCTATAGGATCTAAGAATAAACCTTATCATTACCTTAATTTTTAACATTATTATTAAATTAAATTAAATTATAGCTTATACTTTATGGATCAACAAAAGGTACTCCTATAATTATCTCAAATTTAGATAATATTTATTATTTTTCTTAACTTTATACTTTATGTTAATTATATCATTCATTAATCAAAATTAAATCTTTAACACAAGCTTTTTAATTTTAAAAAAATGAAATACAGTGACAATTACATATATCATCAGATCTCTTATATAAATCCAACTGTTCTGAGTATAACTTTCATGTTATCAACTAATTTAATGTGATTTTTTGTACATTTATAATGTGCATCAAAACCTACTTTAAACTTTATTATGAGAAGCATGAAAAGGAATAACAAAATTAGATGATCATGAAGTGATTATAACTTGTTATTTTTCCTAGAGAAGAGGGCACGAGTGAAACAAGAGTAAGTAGCATGGTCCTGATGAGAGTGATGCATGGTCTACATGAAATGAACACGTTTTTTACTTCTTTGTTTCTACTCTCACTCACACCTTCCATATTTCATCAGAATCTTGTTGAAAAAATGGCTCACGGGAGGGGCGGCAAAATTTTGGACTTTTATTACTTGCCGCCACTCCCATTATCTTCATAAAACAACGCAGAATTTTAAAAGATATCAAAACATGTTATGCTATCAGTATTAAAAGCCTCAATTTTCTCACTCCTTTTAGTTCACCATTTCTCATCCATCACTATCACTCCACTTGGATCCAATCTACATTCTAATAAACAAAGAAAATAATAAGTTCTTATATATGTAATATATTTCAACAATTTAAACTCACAAAATTATCTTATTTATTCTCTTCAAATATTATGTCACATGATTCTTCTATGACTATTCTCTACTTACAAAATATATAAGTCCTTTGAAATGTTCATTATGATAAATTTATTGATTTTTATAATAATTATATTAAAAATTTATCAATAATAAAGTTGTTTTAAAGTGTGCACCTTTTTCGTGTTTAATTAGTATTTTAATCTCTTTACAGGAACAGGTTTTCTTTTTAAATTTTCTCTGGAACTTTCAGTGGTGTATTTAGATACATATGCATGCTGAATGCTTATGCTTTAAGTTTTCCAGCAGACATATGTTTTGTCGTATTGTGGTTACAAATTGACGATTTGTTCGCAGACATTTACAAAGTAATTATTGCTTCCACTTATTCTTCCACCATGGATAACTTTGTTAATTGAGTGGTTACACAGTAATGAAAAAATAAATTATATAATGATCATAGTTAATCCATATTTGTACTAAGTATTATTATTATTATTATTATATATATAAAAAAAATTACATACGGGAGGATAAAATTTATGCTGGATTTTAAAATATAAGTTAAAGTGATTATCAATTTTTTTAACTAGATTAACCATCAAAATATATTATTATAGGTAAATATTTACTGACACAATTTTTCTGGTAACTTTTTGAAGTGGTTTCAGCAGTTGATGTTTTTTAGTTTCAACTTTCAACTGTATTATGGGTATGCTTCCTTCCAACTAGTCTTATTTTTATCTGTTTGTGTATTTCTTTCATGTGCCGTGAATTTTCAATCTTATCTTATATCTCTTGTCGCTGATTGCTGCGTGGCTAACACCTAGAATGCACTGAATAACACACTGTGATATCAGATAGCCTTTTGCTAGTTGCAGGCCGACAGACTCCAAAGGAACAGAGACCCTTTCCTCCTACATGTTCCAGCAAACATGTATATTACATGATAATGGAAAAACATTATTTTTCTTTAACAAACTTTGGTTTTTTCTGATGGCATGTTCTCTGACCATAGATTGAGATTCTCATTCGTATCTTTTAGATGGTATGATTCAGAATATATATAGATTACTATCTCACCCAGGAAATTCATATTTTATTTGAACTTAAACCAATGATGGTCTTTTATTTACCATGAACTGCTGCAATCACAATATATGTTGGTCCATGTAAGCATTTAGTAGACTCACTTATTTTTTTAAATATATAAACTTTTAAAATTATAAAATCAAATTAATTTTTCTATGATAAATTAATAAATTGTTCTAGTTATAAAAATATAGATTCACATTTATATGTACAAGATAATATGTAATGTTGAAAACAATATATACATAGTACATCAATTATATATATATATATATATATATATATATATATATATATATATATATATATATATATATATAAATTAGAATAAACTAATGTAGGAAGAATATTGACCTCAATATAAGAATTTTCAAGATACTTGGATTTATCATTTATAATTTCACCAATGAAAAATAATACTCAATATATAAAAAATAATAAAATTATGATAAATATTTACAACACAAATAAATATTAGTTAATTCATCCTTTATAATTTCACCAATTAAAAATAAAACTCAATGTGTAAGAAATTTGCAACATCAATAACATTTAATTTATTATTTGTAATTTCACCAATTATATGTATTATATATAAATAAATCAAGTCTAGGACTTTTTTTTTCAGCCCATTTCAAGACAATTTAGTTTGAATTGATAAAAAGTTGGGTTTGGTGGGTCAAACTAAGCCCAAAATTAAAATTCTATACCCAATCCAATGCTGACATCAATCTATTTGGGTCTATCATGGATTTCTAATTTTTGACACAACCGAATGCCCTTGTAATAACACCTCCTTTTCTTTTCTTTTTTTAAGGGTAGGCTAGATAAAATATTTCAGAATTTTCATTACTTAACTTGGGTTCTTAAAATTAACAATAGTAAAGATAAATTTTGAGTCACCTTCCTTCAATTTTCATTACTTAAATACATAATTAATCTTTAAAATAAGGAAAATTTACTGTAAATTAGTCTTTGACTATGATAATAATATTGTACAATTTTGAACAATATTTTAAAATTTAAAAGAATAAATCAATAATGAAATATTTCAAATAAAAAAGTCTCATATAAATATTATTTAATTAGAAATTATTATTCAAATTTTTAGCTTATTAAACTAATTAAATTGTCATATATAATAAATATTTTCTTATAAATTTTTTTTGTTAAATAAAATTATTAACTAATAAAAATCATTGTAGGAAAGAAAGTGTTAGGAAGAAAATTTTGTAATCTTAAATAGAGTATTAGATGCCTTTTGAATTAAGATTTTTTTCTTAGATGTGTATGATAATTTTCATGCGTCTTTCAAATTATAGTGATATATGCATATGTTAAAATATTGACAAATATGATCCTTCTTAATTATTTTTTTAAATGATTTTCTAGATATTAAATTAAATATATTATGATAGAATTTTAAAAATCTATTTTCTTTTACATAGTAAGTAGTTATATGTTTAAGTGGATTTTTATAACTGAAAGCATGTATGAGAATATATAAGTCTGTCTGGTAACACACAAATTATTTTTCATGGAATTTTTATAAAAAATAAAATAAAAATATAACTTATTCAAGGGAATGAAATTAATTTATAAAATAAAAAATAATTAGAAATTTAACTTTATGATATATTTGTAACTATCTAAGTTAATGGTAGTTGAAGAAATCTATATGCAACTATGACTACACTTTCGTGTTTCTGAGTTCGGTCAGGTTTATTGACTTCAATTTTCTCTCTATAGTCTTAAGCATGTCAGCATCAATGATTTATATGACTCTCCTCATTTCTCTTATCCGATGGTTACAAACAGTAACCATCTAATCATTCTCTCTTTATGAAGAAGTTGGGTTTTACAATCACCATTCTCCTCGTTTACGTGGATGACATTGTTCTAGTAGAAAACAATATTGTAAAAATTACTCACATTATCTCTCTACTTGACTCTACCTTCAAGATTAAAAACCTTGGGGATTTGTGATTCTTCTTGGACCTTGAAGTTGTCTGCAACCCTTCTGGCATACACCTATGTCAACGCAAATATACCATTGATCTTTTTTTCGACAATGACTTGCTTGCCTCTCGATCAACAACTACACTCATTGTATAACACTGTCTGATCCTTTTGTATATCGTCAACTAATTGGATGACTCATTTACCCTATCATTATACGTGCAGACATTGTTTTTGTTGTACAACACCTTATTCAATTTGTCTCTCAACCTATAAACTCTCACCATCAAGCTGCTTTTAGTGGTTTCCGTTGTCTAAAGCAAAGTTCAAATTCTGGCATTTTTCTCGCGGTTTCCAGTACAACCATACTCAAGGCTTTCAACAACTTTGATTGGGTTGAGTGTCCTGAATTACGATGTTCTATTACCGGTTTCTTCATTTACCTTGGTAACTCTCTCGTCTCTTGACGCTCAAATAACACAATCGACGATCTCACACAACTCTTCTGAAGCTGAATATCGTGCTTTAGCTTTCATTACCTGTCAAATTCAGTGGCTGACATGTCTATTAAATGACATTGGTGTTTTTCTTTCACACGTTCAGCTTTAATTTCTTGTGACAACTAATTTGTAATTCAAATTGCTTCCAACCAAGTCTTCCATGAATGTACCAAACACATTGATATAGACTGTTATATTGTCTGAGAAAAAATCATTAATGGTTTGATTAAGCTGCTATTGGTCTCTTCTTCCTCACATATTGCTAACATTCTCGTAATATCTTTTTCTTCCACTGTGTTTCAGAATATTTGTTTTAAGTTGGGCATGACCAATATCCATACTCCACTTAAAAAGGAAATTTTTAACCATATCTTATATGTAATAAAATCATATTTTCTATGATAGAATTACACAGAATCACACCTTCACATTTTTTTCATCGTTATAATCATTTTATGTTATTTTGACCTTTAACTTTATTATCATTATAAATATATATTATCTCACTCTCTAAAATAGAAGAAATTTTGTTTTGGTCATTACATTTCACTGGTTACGTTTCTTTTCTCTCCCTCTTTCTCTCCTTTATGGTTGAAAGAGTTGTGAACTCTTTCTCTTGTTCTTGCATGCTCAATGCTAGAATAAATCAAAGTCAACTTCTTCTAGTACGTAAAGGTTGTGGGAGCACTGTTTTCCCTCCTCACCTTTCATGGGAGAAAAGGGTGTTCCAATGAAGTTGGTGGTTCGAGAACAAATCAATGAAACTGGGGTATTTGTGTGGAAGGATGTAGAACTATGGTTTTTGAGATTTCTTTTTGGGGTGAACAAACTTCAATGTAGAGTAACGGTAACCCTTTGTCATGGATTCCTAACAATCCAGATTCTTGTCTATTCCAATGTATCCCACAGTGACATTACCTATAGAATGGTCATAAAATTTGAAATTTGGATAAGGCAAACCTTTATGCAAAAGGCAATAGCAAAACATTCTTCTTAAGTTGTAATATACCTTTTTCCACAAAAGAACCATCTATTAGCATTCTCAGTTGTTAATCTTTATCTATGTGTTTCATAATTTACATTAGTATTTGTCAATTTCTTGATACCGTAATCAAGATCCAAGAAACAAAAATGCTTTGTAGAGCTTTCTCATAGTGATTACAGTAGAGGGACAAAAGTCAAAAGAAAATTTTTATATTATTTAGGAAGTGAGGAGACTACCATCTCCCAAAAAATTTATAATTTATATATATATATATATATATTTATAATTTTGATATCACAAATTTAATAATAATTAAATATATTTATTTATATATTTATAATTTTAATTTTTTATATTTATTTTTTATTTATTAATAATATATTTTTTAACCCTCAAAATTATGGATGAACCTCCGCTGCTAGGAAGGGTTTTGGATGTGGCTTTCAAAGTTATTTCACTACTTCATGCCTTTTTCCCTGTTTTTAAACAATATATAATATAACAAAGGAGATAAAAAATATATGTTTTTGTTTTTCATTCTAAAAAATCAGAGACATACAGTGATACAAAGTGGTTTGAATAGGTAGCCTCCACTAAAAGATTCTATCTTCTCTGCCTTGTCAGAACTCTTTTCCTTCTAGTTATACCTTTTTTTGCAAACTTAGATGTATGGGTTACCTTGATGTCACTGACTGTGCCTGTGTGATTGCCATGGTTAATGGCATTGCTTGTGTAACTGGGTTCTTCAAGACTATGATTCCTTTTGCTTTTATATCTAAGATCTCTACTGATTTCAACTCTAGCATGATGTCTCCTAGGTTGCAAAGACTTCCTTAAGTGGGAGGCTTTATAATCTTTCCTACGCGAAATTGATCTGCTCATTTTTGCAGGTGTTGGAAAATGGCATGAAAGGCTTTCATCTGTGTAATCTTCTTCTCCAGTTTTAAAGTAGAAATTTCGATTCATGTCCATTCTGACTCTTCTTCTTATTCTTCTTGTTCTCCTGATATTGTGTAGCTTCATACACAAGAAAGTGCAAGAGTACTCCCAAACATGGAAACAAGAAGAGAAACATGCCCATATCATTTTGCACGAAGACCGGCAAAGACATCCACATATGCCCAATTTATGCACCAGATATAAGAACAACAGAACTGCAAGTAAAAAGAACATACATACCCAATTTCAGATATTAAATGGTGCTAGCTTTATGTTAAGTACTACAACAAACCATGTTGCAAATTGCAATCTATCAAGCAGATGAACTCACCAATGTACGACAGCATAAATACCATGGCTAATTTCAGGATATTGGCAATGCAAAAATTTTCGATATAGCACATGAAATCCCATGTTGGTCCACACACTGAGCTGAAAGATATCCAAAGACGAATATATCAATCATGAAGTGGAAAGTGAAGAAATGTATACATCATAATGAAAGTAGAATAACACTGCATGGTCTTACCTGCAAGACTTCCCGGAAAGAAATTCAATTGGAGAATTAAATAGTTTGCCAACAGTCTGTCCTAAGCCCGAAGCAAACGATTCAATGACGTTGCCCATATTCAAGAATCACAGAGCTGCATGAGATATTCAAGAACAATTAATACTATTTATTACTAATGCAATTGATTCAGTGAGGATTTGAGTATGGCACTGATGAGAATGCATTCAGTAGGCAATGAACTTATTTCTTTTCAAACTGATGGAAATTTGTACAGAAATGGAATACTACTTTAAAGGATTCTCCCTACCTTTTATCCATTTTGTGTTTCCCCGTATTTTGCCATATTAACTGCACGACCATTCAAGTCCCTGGCCTATTTTAAAAGAAAAAAAGAAAGAAATATATAGATAGAAAATGCTAACTGTTTTTCAGTCTAGTATTTTACTCTATAAAATTTCTTCATCAAGAAGTGAAGAGTGACCGTTTTCTATACGGACTTTTATATTATAATTTCGTTTCAAAAACTTTCCTCAACAATAATAATAATAAAAAAAAAAACACAGCGTCAAGAGTAAGTATAGTAAAAGTACTTTCAAAATTAAAGCAAAGCATCGCAAGCAAAACTGGTCAAAAACGAAAATAATGCATTTTTTTTCTTCAAAAAAAAAAAAACGAAGGAAGTATCGAACCATTTGCATAAAAAGACCTAGAAAAATCGTAAACATAGAAAACGGTAATATATACAGTGAGAACGAAATAAGCAGAAAACAAAAAATGCAGCATGTGATCATGACATAGAGCAAGAAAGCAAAGAGAGAACTTGAAACAGGAAACAAACAAATTTGTAGGTTAAGAGTTTGCTCTTCGCTCACCAGAAATCAGCGACAGAAACACACGCAGCATGAACAAACCGTGAGGCGCCAAACCAGAGAGAAAAACAAATCTCTTCGTTTCCTCTCAACTTAGAAGTAAAAAAATGACTCACTCTAGGGGTAGGGTTTGGATACGTTTCCTATTCTCATCCACTTTCCCACATTAGATGATCTGATTTCTGACATTGAAGGCTCAGATCTAGCCACAAACGACAGTTTTTGATTCATTCAAGAATTTTGTGCACGTTCGAGGTACTCCACTTCTCGTAGCATTTTTATTTTTTTTTACGATAAATTTGTAACATTACTTTTTGATAATAAATTTAAAAAATATAATTTTTTTAGATTTTTTTAATAAAATTTAAAGCATACTTTTTCAATTTAAAACTTGTTTGATCCTCGTTCGTTCCCTTGAGTGTGGATAATAGAATAAAAGTTTACGAGAGATATCATTAATGTATCACAATTTAGTAGATTAGATGGTATGACTTATTTAAATATATTTTTTATTTTATCTTTTTAAATTATTAAAATAAATTAGTTATATGTATTCACCTAATATAAATAATGAGTTAAGTGGGTTGTTTTACTATTTATTTATATATATATATATATATATATATAGAGAGAGAGAGAGAGAGAGAGAGAGAGAGTGTGTGTGAGAGATTTATACTAACATATAAATAAATAAAAATATTAAAGATTGAAAAAAATATGTTAACTTAATTCGAACCCATTTAATTTACCGATTAACTAAATCAGATTCATTTTAATTTATTATTAAAAAAATTTAATTTTTTTCAACATAAACATAACCTTGAATCTATGATAAACCGAGTTGTTATTTAACACTACTTTAGTTTTTAATTTTTTTTTAAATAGAGTCATATTATAAGATTTTTTTTATTTTTAAATATCATGATTGAGCTATCAAGAAGAGTCTTGTATTATTTTTAAAATACAAAAGTTGTTTTACATTTTTTTTAATTTAACTATTAAATAATTTTATCTGTAATATTTTGATATTTTAAAATTTACAAATAAAAAAATAAAAATATATAAGAGTGATTAATAAAATGATATGCATTAATATTAATAAAAATAATATAATACAAAACTAAGTTGTAAAATTTAGTGTTGGAAGAATATTCTAGATGAATTTTTTTGTGTGTTCGTCTTTTATTTTATCCAAGAACATATCTTTATTATATTTTTTTATTACTATCATCATATTCTTTTTTGAAATTAGATTTAAGAATTTTTTTTAATGTAGTATTACATAAATATCTAAATATAGCATATTGTGCACAAAATTTATAAAAATAACACATTTTTTATAAAAGGGTCATAATTCAGTCTCCTGCAAGACGAATTCTGACTTGTATTTCTAATAATTTTTTAAAATAAAAATATTTAATAAATATAAATATTAAATATATATATATATATATATTTAAAATATTTATTTATATAATTATATCAAATAAATATAAATATAAATATATTTATATAATTGTATTATTAATATATTTTTATAAATATACTAAATATAAATATATTTAATATATATAGAGATATTTATATATAATATTTAATTTTTATTTAATATAAATTAAATTGAATAAAAAAATTGATAAAAATAATAATTTATAGGAGTAATAAATAAAAAATAAATTTATATAAGATATTATATGAATAATAATTTATTTAATAATAACTTTGATGTAAAAAATTAGAAAAATACAAATAAATTATAAGATTATATAATAAAAATTATTGAAATTGTTTAATAAAAATTATATAATTTTTTTTGAAAAATAATATTAAAAAAATAACTATTTATCCTTATAGACCCTCTCCCACTTTATTTACCCACGTAAATTTATCTACAGTCTAAGATAAGAATCGAAATCTGAATGAGAATGTGCGACGTAATTACATTTTGATATATAAATTTTGATATGTTTAACATGAGAATGTGCTAGTATTTGATATCATAAGATTACAATAAGTTGGGGTCACGCATAATTTCACAACATATTCATGAAATTATGGACGCGAACCCTTCTATTCCTATTACAACTATGATGGCTCATAGTTCTCAATAAGATATATTGTGACATACAAAAAAGTTTTGTTGACAAAGCAACAAACAATTGAAAATATTTACGGCAATTGGGAAAAATCATTCAATAAATTGTTTAGTCTATTATAAGTCATGTTACAATTTTTTACTCGTTTCTACTACCGATTGACTACACAACAACCATATTCTGCCAAGGATAAGGTATACTTTAAAAAACTAGTTGAACCTTTGTCATGCATTGATGACTTTCGGTATTGCAAATCACTAATCCAAGTGAATAAGACATTTATATATGACAAATATAGGAGTACCCTACTACTAGCTATTACACAAGACGAAAGAAACAACATACTTTTCATTGTTTTTGTGATTGTTGAAGGTGAAACTGTAGATGCTTGACATTTTTTCTTAAAAAACCTAAAGAGGTATGTCACACCTCATGAGTACTACATTCAATACATTGTACAAAATTTTATGAGATGATTCAAGAATGCAAATCTAAAAAAAACCTTGTCAATATAAGTAAAAACTTATATTCTATCTAAACTATTTTACTATGTTATCTTGATTATTATATGTTAACTTTTATTATTTCAATATGCAACATAGACAATAACTGAACCAAGAGCATACAAAATGACTAATCCGAGAGATAACTTGGATTTACAAAATTCCTAAGAACAAATAGACACTTACATATGATCATGGTAAAAGATGAAGTCACCTAACAACCAACTTATCTGAATCCATCAATTTAGTTATAAAAATATTTGTATTTATTATATTTATAAAAATATTTTAATAATATATTTATATAAATTTAAAAGATGATTAATATAACCATAAAATATAGTTGAGATAGATGTAGTGAGTTGGTAATAAGTTGACAACCAACTTACAAATAACCAAATAAACAGGTTTTCTTATAACTTATCTACTAGGTAGTAAATGGATCGTTCAAATATTTGTTATTGTTGTGTATTATACTAATAAAAAAAATATGTTTGAGAAAAATATTATTAAATTTTCTATATATACTTATTTCATTTACTTAAAATACTATTATATATCAGACCTATTTTTACATATATTCATTTCTCTGAACCTAGCTGTGCAATATGACTAATTAGGAAACCTATCACAGAATTATCTTGAAAAAAAAAATCAATGAAATCTAAATAAAATAAAAATATATATTAATTTTATCCTAATGATCATGATCATAATAATTATCTAAATAAAAAATAATATTATAATATATTTCACATTTAATATTAATGTATTTAATTTTTTTAAACTACTTTTATTATTTTAATTTTTTATTTTAAAATTTTTAATCTTAAAAATTTATTAAAAGAAAAATATATTCTAATATAATTAAAATATATAATATTATATAAATAAAATATATTATAAATATATAAATTCTAAAAATATATACTACTATTTTACAATTAATATAAATATAACATTTGTTTTTTACCAGGTAAAAGATGGAATTGCACATGTTTAAAGGGTTCTAAACTGCATATAGTTTTTTTAAAGTAAAAACTGCATAGACGTTAATATTAGCGGAAATTTTACGCTCAAGTGTCTGGATTTCTATTAAAATAATACAGTTTTATAAATGAAATTTTAAAAAATAATATTTTTGTGATAATTTTTAAAAAATATATTATATATAAAAACATTTAAGAGTGTGAGAAAAATATGTCCATTATATATCATACAACATTATTATTGATTACTTTTAAATGGTTTAGATAGTTACTTTTAATAGATGAGATTTTCGTATTTTATCAAATAATAAAACTATTTATATATAAAATATATTCCATAAAGATATACACGCCATCAATTAATTCATTTAAATATAATTAATAACAAATAAATTATTTCAAAAAATAAGTTTAAATAAAAATATTATATTTTAAAAAGTTAAAATCAAATATTATCTAACAAATAATATTATATTAGTATTACAATATAACATTCATGTTTTATTAGTTTATTAAACAAACACTTAATAGAATATCTAATGCAAAAATAAAGGTACAAATATTGAAGTTGATATTTATTATATATATCCAATTATAAATTTGAATTTTTGGTGTGTTGTATTTGTGCTATACTCAAACCATTTAAGAGTATTTCTAAC